TGTCAACTTCTTTTCGAGAAGAATGCTTAGATAATTTAGAATGGACTAATGAGCCCATTAAATACTTAGGTGTGTACATAACTCAAAGAAAAAAAGAATCGGAAAGTTTAAATTGGAACTTGAAACTGGAGAAAGTAAATTCGTTGCTGAGAGTTTGGAAAATGAGGAACCTGACATACTATGGGAAAATAACAATTATAAAAACGCTTATTGCTTCCCAATTTGTATATATTGCGACATGTTTACCAATTCCACAAAAGTTTGTTGTCAACCTAAACAGATTAATTTATAGCTTTCTTTGGGGATCAAAAAAGGAAAAAGTAAAAAGAGCGGTTGTTACTCGCGCCGCAGAGGGGTGGGGTTTAAACATGGTAGATATCCAAACCAAATTCCAATCATTGCAATTATCTTGGTTTTCAAAATATATGAAAGGAGGTAAGTCGCAATGGAGAATACTTTTCAGATATTGGATCAGTTTTATTCAAGACATACCATTAATTTTGAAAGTAAACTGCTCAAGCAAAGACATGTTCTCGCTATGTAAGATGTATAAGTTACCAATATTCTATGCTAACTTACTCACATACTGGTGCGAATTAAGATATGTTCATTTCCTGAATGTAAGAGACATATGCAATGAAAGTCTGTGGTATAACAGTAACATCAAACATGAACGAAATGTTTTATTTTTTAAAAAATGGAATGTAAACGGAATCTGTAAAGTTAGTGATGTATTTGAAAACGGTCAATGGGTGTCATGCAACACTCTCTTCGGACGTTTGGGTACAAGTTCTTTATTAGATAGCTTCAAACTTTCGAAACTAAAAAGGGCTTTTCCAAAAGTATGGGTAGAACAAATAAGAAATACCAATTTTAACCCAATTGCAACAGAAGTTTCTGAAGGAATGTTTGAGATATCGAACTGCGACTTGATTAACTTAAGTCTCATGAAAGCAAAACACTTTTATATTCTTTTGAATGAGTTCAAAAAAGAAAATCCTCCGGTGTCATTGTTTTGGCAGGAAATACTGCAACTACCAATCAATTTTGAGTGGAGGCATGTTTTAGATTTTAAATTAAAAAAGATCAAAGACAACAGAGTGAGACAATTTAATTTCAAACTGCTTCATAAAGTTTTACCCTTCAAAGATAATCTTTACAAGTGGAAAATTACATCTGATATGCTTTGTACGTATTGCAATGAATCAGAATCGTTTATACACATTTTGCTAAGATGTCCCCAAGTCGCAGTCTTTTGGCAAAAAATTCATCATCTGGTAACGAACTTGTTCCAAAAAGATATTGAGTTAGAAGAAAAAATCATATTAATTGGTTTCAACATTGAAGACCCGAAGTTTCTGCTCATGAATGTACTAATTGTTTACGCACAATATGCAATTTATAAGGTGTATATACTTAATCATCTGAGAAGTAAATCCTTCAACAGTCATTCAATTTGGATGACTTTCAAAAGCGATTTTATGTTTTATGTCAATTGGCAATACAGAAACCAAGAACAATTAATAAGTAATATCAAGATGAATCTTTCTTAGTTGAACCTTTAACGCATTCATATTCATGCCTTGATCTTTCCCTTCCACTTTCCTTATGTTTCCCCTATTTTATTATATCAGTTTATTGATTGTGAATATATATATATATTGTCATTAAACTCTATATGCAATGTGGTTAAAATTATATAAAGTAATAAAGTGCCTCGTATGAGGAAAAGAGAAAAAAAATCCCCCATTTCATATATCTTAATTCAGCCAAGCCGAAATATTGAATACAAAATTGCCATTACGGTTAACTTTCGTGCAGTTAAGAAATATATGTAAGTAAGACTCTGTCTCTTTATTACAGAATGAACAGTAATTGTCCTCCCAAAACCAAAATCAAAACCTCATCAAAAATGTATTTGTGTAAACACACACACGCACGCACACGCACACACACATACACACACATGCACGCCTGCACACATATTTTTTATTTTTGTAAAGTAATTTTGTTCTATTCCTCCAAATTTTTAATACAAACACAAACATACAATTGAAAAAATAAACTTTTTAAAATTTGATTGCAAAAACTCATATGCAGTATATATAACTTAGTAACAAAGTAAACTTATAAATACCTTAAAATTACTATGTCCCTTTTGCAGACAACATCAAATAGTGTAAAATTTTGCAGGAATTATGAATATGTCATGTATGTCCTATCTGTGAAATATAAACGTTAACAGTGTCCTAATGTTCAAACTATGCAAGGAAACCCGTTTACTTGCTAGACTTCACTGGCAGACACTATTGAGTGACTGACTGGCTTTTTTCTTCTTTGGTATTAACAAACATAGAATGAGCTGTAAAGGGTACATGAGCGTTTGTCTACAGCAATAACCCACTTCTTGTAATGGCCAAAATTAAACTGATTAAATCTTTGCGCAGTATAAAAAGTATGACCATTCGGTACAATGGCCTGAAAATCAGACTATTACTTACTGGCTCTGTAGCTCTTAAGTCGATTCGAAAGCTAATTATTATTAGTTATTTTCCCGCTGAAAGACATTTTCAAGCCCCCCCCCCCCCCCACCCTTTTTTTTTAGGGAAGTCCTAAGTATTATCTTTCAAATGCTGTTAAAATACAACATTTTCACTTTTTTGGCCTGCAAATGGGACAAAGTACCCTAAAGAAAATTTAATTTTCTTTTGCATTCTTTATTTCTTTAGGAAATGTATTCCTACCTTTCCCACTCTAAGTGCTATTTTCTTTTCCTCATTCCTATAATTAAAAATGCTTTTGTTCATCTTTTCTAAAGTCGGTACTTGCCACCCCCCCCCCCCCCCCCCCGCGCGATCTTGACATGAATATAACATACTTCACCATGAAAATTATAGTATTACAAATTGTTACTCTATCTTAACTACCTAACAACCCAACAACTATATCTCGTCATTCTAAATATTTAATTTCAACAATAAATTATTTCAAAGGAAATCAGATTTTTTAAAAGCTTTGGTATGTAGGTCTAGGAATATTGATAAATCCAGATTAAGTGAAGCAATTTTATGCTCATTTACTGGTAATTTGTTACTGTTTTCCTATACTAGTGTACTTTGGAAAAACTATGTGTCTCTGACAATATTTTGCATCTAACATGATTTATTTAAAACACTTTTGCCAATTAATTACTGAATGCTCATTTTCATCTCATTCCAAGCGCCAATTCTCTCTAATTCTCTCTCTCTCTCTCTCTATTTATACTGTATATAATCATTCTCACTTATTAATTGATTCATCTGTCAGAATCATATAGTACAATTTAATGAAAGAAATCTACAAAATAAATGTATGCAGAGAAAATTTTATTACTAACAAAGATAAACAAATAATAACTGTACAAAATATTCATATAATCAAAGACAAATTAAGTAATATCTTTCTTTTACAAAACTGAATATTCATTATTTACAAACATAAGTACAAATAATGAAATACATTTCTATGATTCATATACAATCCATTTGTGTAAGGCAATAGCAAAACCATGTCATGAAATTGGAAAATTTTATCCCCTTTTAACCAAATGCCCAAATCTGGACATTTTCAAATATTTACAAATATAAATATATACAAATAATGAAAAACATATGACGATACAAATACAATTGATAGAGTCAGCCAATAGCAATACCATGTCTTGAAAACCGGACATTTTTATCCCCTTTTGACCAAACGTCAAAATCTGGACATTTTCATACATTAACAGATATAAATAAATAAGTACAAATAATAAAATACCTATGAATGATACATATACTCCACTTGTGTGAGCCAAATTTTAATCCCCTTTGACCAAATGCCAAAACCGGAAATTTGTATCCCCTTTGACCAAATGCCAAAACCGGAAATTTTTATCCCCTTTGACCATATACCAAAACCGGAAAATTTTATCCCCTTTGACCAATTGCCAAAACCGGAAATTTTTATCCCCTTTGACCAAAGTGCCAAAACCGGAAATTTTTACCCCCTTTGACCAAATGCCAAAACTGGAAATTTTTATCCCCTTTGACCAATTGCCAAAAACCGGAAATTTTTATCCCCTTTGACCAAATGCCAAAACCGGAAAATTTTATCCCCTTTGACCAAATGCCAAAACCGGAAATTTTTATCCCCTTTGACCAAATGCCAAAACCGGAAATTTTTATCCCCTTTGACCCAAATGCCAAAACCGGAAATTTTTATCCCCTTTGGGCATATACCAAAACCGGAAATTTTTATCCCCTTTGACCAAATGCCAAAACCAGAAATTTTTATCCCCTTTGACCATATACCAAAACCGGAAAATGTTATCCCCTTTGACCAATTGCCATAACCGGAAAATTTTATCCCCTTTGACCAATTGCCAAAACCGGAAATTTTTATCCCCTTTGACAAAATGCTAAAACCGGAAAATTTTATCCCCTTTGACCAAATGCCAAAACCGGAAATTTTTATCCCCTTTGACCAAATGCCAAAACCGGAAAAGTTTATCCCCTTTGACCAATTGCTAAAACCGGAAATTTTTATCCCCTTTGACCATATACCAAAACCGGAAATTTTTATCCCCTTTGACCAAATGCCAAAACCAGAAATTTTTATCCCCTTTGACCAAATGCCAAAACCGGAAATTTTTATCCCCTTTGACCAAATGCCAAAACCAGAAATTTTTATCCCCTTTGACCAAATGCCAAAACCGGAAAATGTTATCCCCTTTGACCAAATGCCAAACCGGAAATTTTTATCCCCTTTGACCAAAGCGCCAAAACCGGAAATTTTTATCCCCTTTGACCAAAGTGCCAAAACCGGAAATTTTTATCCCCTTTGACCAAATGCCAAAACTGAAAATTTTTATCCCCTTTGACCAAAGTGCCAAAACCGGAAATTTTTATCCCCTTCGACCAAAGTGCCAAAACCGGAAATTTTTATCCCCTTTGACCATATACCAAAACCGGAAATTTTTATCCCCTTTGACCAAATGCCAAAACCCGGAAATTTTTATTCTCTTTAAACAAACGCCAAACTAGAATTTGTTATCCCCTTTGACCAAATGTCAAACCAGAATTTTTTTATCCCCTTTGACCCAAATATCAAACCGGAAAATTTTATCCCCTTTGACCAAATGCCAAACTTGAAATTTGTATCCCCTTTGACTGAAAGCCTAACTGAAATTTGTATCCCCTTTGACCAAATGCCAAACCGGAAATTTTTATCCCCTTTGACCAAATTTCAAATCCATTGAATTTAACCCAGGCCAATTTAATGACCCTTCACCAAATGCTCAAATCTGGTATCATTCATTATTTACGAAAATAGATAAACCTTATACAACTAAGACGTACATAATTATTTACAATAAACGTTCATCTTGGTTAAAAGCTCAACTCAATCATGAGTTTGGTAAATAGCATCCAATTGTTTTCATCCCTGAAATATATGGTTGTCCAAATAAAGTTGATGAAAATACCATTTGAAAGCTTCCTGCATCCTAGTACTCTTTGTACAATATTGTCTTAATTCTTTCCTTTTTTAAATTATCCATACACCAAAAAAGTTTGAATTCATTAAGTACTGCGAATGAATAGAATTACACACCACATACCGTGAATGATGTGGAGTCAAGCAGGGTGGGTACATGGCAATGGAAATCACACAAGAGAAGCATGCAAAACAAAAGCTTCACATAGTTTGAAGCTGAATCAATAACATTTTAATAAATGAAGAAGATGCAATATAACCTAATCTCCAAATACTTTCAACTTTATATATCGACAAGATGAATGCAACTGTACTGCGTCTGCTACATGCCTCTGCCTAAATTCAGTCAATTTCATGGCTCAAGCTGTTCTTGAAATAATGTGATAACCAGAATTAAAGCCTACAATTAAAATTTGAATTTAATTTTATTTACCTTTGACCAACAAGCCGAAAGGTCTGATCACTTTATTATCCTCTTATTAGTCATGCAAACAAAATAGTTGAGATATGGTGATACCAAGCCTAATTTCATGCATATTGACTTATATGACCTTTGACCTACTAAACCTACTCACTATGGTGATGCCTAGTAGTACCAAGATTGAAATTCACAGCTGTAACAGTTGAGATATACAGTCAGACCGCTGCACGTCGCTAATGAGCATATCGTGCGTAAGTAATTATCATGCGCCTCAAAACAGCAAGAAGAATAATATCCTCAAATGAGAAGCTACGATATCGTGAGAGAATATTGCAATGACGGAGACTCAAATTTCTCGCGCATGCACAGTTTTTGAACAGCCATGTTTGCATAAGTTGATCTCCAGAAAAATTTCCTTTCATATGATGAAATGTTAATACATTTCCGCGAAATTTACGCTTGTACAGCACTGAGTCTAATTTTGAAAAGTTTTTGTTCCTAGTTTTGTAACTAGATTTTCTTTCCGTGAACCTGACCCGTTCGAAAAAAGAAAATATATTTTGATGGTGATATGTGTTCAGCAATGTCTGAAATTGCCAAACCAGTTGTCTAATTTGAGGTTCCCCAATAGAAAATTAGTGAAGTCTGCATGCATGCTTCCAAAATTCACATGAAAATCATGTTTTCACCGGAAATTGATACTCAAAGTTGGGTAAACTGGCACAAAATGGTCTAAAACGCATGCAAAATTGTCCTCCTCATCAGTGAAGTTGTGTAATTTTGTAACCCAAATTTGTATGGGCGGGCGCATACTATTCTTCAACCGGTATAATTTCTTGAAACGAACACTACATTTTTTCAATTTCAAACGTATCACTGTCCATGGTCAATCTTTGTAATCGATAAATATCGATCTAATAAAATGAAATGGGGTTGAAATAGCGCCATTATTCGCGCCTAGAAAACAAAACTCGAAGTCATACGTTCGTACATTTTTGACGAATGGTAGTTTGGTAGGTGATCAGAAATCTATGTATTCATATCTTCTTAATGTTGATTTTTTTTTTAATAAATGAAATTGACGCGTTCGAATCGCTACACTCTATACTGATTCCTAACAATGTCCGAAATAAAAATGAATTAAAACTGTTGTAAACATTTGGAGAATAAACAGCGTTTTACTGAACCACCTCTGTGGACATATCGCATTTTGCAAATTAACATTTTGTTTATATCTTAAGAATCCATGCCCCTGACAAACACTGTCCGTTATCCTTAAATCAAACTATGTATTTATTCCTTAATTCCCTGAGCTCTGCTTGCATTTCACCTGATAGTTTAGATGTTCTTGTAAGTTCAAATGGGGCAGTGATGACAGCAGACTCCGGGACCCACTCTAACCACGCTTGTTGCTCTCCTGATGTTGAAATGGTGAGTGGGTCCCACTGTGACGTGGCAGTACCAGTGTACCAATGTACATGTAGCTCTCCTGGTATGGTGTCTACTACTCTGCCAATCTGGGGCCATTCTTGGTGGTATTGGTCCAGATAGAATGCCCTCATGTTTCCCTCTGATGTCAGAACGGATTTTGTTTTTTTCTTTTTTTGGCCGATGTAGACCTGGAATAATTGAGAGGCAAAGGGTATCATAAGAAATTATTAACAAATTTCTTTTCTATTCAAAATTGCACACAGTCCAAATAACATCTAAGTCTTGGCAGCATTACATTATTAGATTATTAATGACAATTCACCACTTTTAATTACCTTACGGTATGTTAATGATGTTCTATATATTCACTCCTCATGGACATATTTTTATCAGCAGATCTGAGATAGTACTATTGTGGGGGACGATCATTAAGAATAAGTAAATTTCAATTCATTTATAAACAATGTCTGCCACGACTACTTTGTAACAGTCCTTTTTTATAACACTACTATTTTTCAATTTCACAAGGCATATTACATGGGGAGATTGGTCAACATATTGATGATAGGATTTGCTAAATTACCCTTAACAAAAACCTCAGCATAGTATATCATCACTCCATGCAATAAATTCATAGTGAATGGTCTTACACTATCAGGACAATGTAAAATATAATGCTATTATGAAAATCGAAACAAATGGAACGGTGGAGACATAAAAAGATATCTGCTTTAAACTCACTTGACATGGAACTTCCTCTTCTACCTCTGATTGATATGTGCTTGAAGACCCAGAGAGTTGTAGGCAGAGCTCATTCTCATGTTCTTCGGTGAGCAGAAGATCCATCAATGGCCAGTGACAGTTGAATTCTGCTTCACCTTCATACAACAAAATACAAACAAAATATATAAACCATTTTGTCTCTTTAATATCAACTTTAAGAATAAAATCATCTAGATTTACAGTATTTACACTGAATTACTGTAACATTCAGTTTATACTAAGATGACAAGATAACATCACCACTATCTGCTGCAATTGAAAAACTTAGTAAAGATACAAGTGAACATGTCAGTAAAACGGAATTTAAATTATAACTTTTAAGTATCGGAGGAAAATTACTAATAAAAAAGAGAATTTCATTACCTCTACATTTTCATAATTTTATTTATCTTTAATGGCATTTTTCATTCAAAAGGTCAGTACTTTCACAATTGTATAACAATTGCCATTTTCAGGGCAAGGAATTTAAATTGAAAGAAAAATGTGTCAAAACACTATACACAGGGTAAAATGTAATAAACCTCTTTGGAAGTGCGTGTAGGGATATTATATCATACTGTGGTGTGAAAAAACGAACCTACTTGAAAGCAAAGCTTGTTAGATGTAGGTTCGCACAATAATAATTATACTTAATACATTTATAACTTAATTTTGAAAAAAAATTACGGAATCAAAAAAATGTGACAGACAATAGAAAAACAAACAATTAAACGAGACAAAAACAAATCAGAAACATTAGCAGAATGACAAGATGATGATGATAAATGAAGAATATAAGAATGAGAGAGTAAAAAACAGAAAAGGGGGAAGACATGCAGGAAGATAAATAGAAGACAGAGAGAGGGGGTGAAGGGAGACAGAGAAAGAGACAGAGAGGGAGAGGGGAACTACTTATTATACTGATTCGTTTGCAACAAAAAGTGCTTGAGGGCATTTTTGAAACCCCTTAAATATAATGAGGGCTTTTCTTGTAATGTGCCAGGAAGGGCATTCCAATATTTTGGGCCAGTGAAAGTGAAAATCCTTAAATCAATACATGTCAATTCAAAATTAATCTTTCAAGTACCTCTGTCTTCTAAATGAAGCTGGTCGAGTGTTGACCTCCAAGTTTCCATTGCCTCAGCTGTCAAGAATGGCTTCATCTTCATAATTTGTTTGCCAAGACGAGGAAGATCCACCTTGTCGAAGTTTGGCGTGATGATGGCTGGTATTCCATCTGGGTGGTGAGTCAGGAGATGAGGGGAACCGCATGGAGAAATCCATTCAGGGGAGGATGACCACATCTTTGTTGATATGAGTGCACGACCATCTGGACCCTTTGTGATCCGGAAGACATGAGGTCTGCTATGCTGGCTGATGTCCTCAAGGCATGGACCAAGCCACTCCTTGCTGCTGTATATTGGCTGCAACCTCTCTGCTGTTGTCACTCCCTTGTTGAAGGATTTGGGGATTGTGTCGAGCAGTGCATCCAGAGTTGGGATGTTGGTTTTCTTAAGCCTTGTTGATACACGTGAAAAAAACTGATCAATATCCTCATGGGTATGACCCACCATTAGGAAACTCACCTTCACCTGTTTGCAAAAAGAGAATAGGTATGTCATTATAGGTGTTGTTTTGTTTTTTTTAACCAAATTTTTCCACATTTTCCAATGGCTCAGTGAGTGCATGCTTGTTCAAGGGACAGTATTGGAAATCAAAACTTACAAACATAAATTACCCAATATCAATGCTTATTATCTCAGAAAATGGCATTGTGTCCTCTCTCTTCAGAGTAAGTTAATTAGCTCACAGTATAGTGATTTTTTTTGTATCTGTTGATAGAGCCAGATGACATAAACTGTTTTTTATTGGCTTTCCAAAAAAGCTTTTTAGAAGGTTTCTTTTCCCTTTAATTTACAGACATGAGATTCTGAAATCTGACAAAATTGATTTGGGCTTAGGTGTAACAACAACATTCATTGGCCTTAAAAGGTAAACAGTGTTGAATCTGCTTGATCTGCCTCAATGTTTGTTCAGAACAAGCACGGCCTAGATGCTGATGAGAAAATATATATATATATATTTATTTTTTTTTGGAGGGGGGGGGGGGGCGGTAACCTCAGTTGTCCTCTACGCATACTGTAAGATAGAGGACAACTGAGGTAAACCCCAATCACCACCCACCCTATCAAGCTATCAATGAATGATTGGTATTACTTTGATATTGCTGCTGTTTACCTTTTTGAAGACTTCAAGCTCTACAAGAAGGCTCAGGAAGGCAAAAACGTATTTGTTTTTGTTTTCACGCCCGCAATTATCTAGCTGGAGGTACAGGACTTTGGGCAAGTTGGAGGCATATTTTTGTAGTATCCGCAGGAGGACTGTGATGGTGAGGTTGGGATCATGGGGGAATTCGTTCAAATCAATGAAAGCGTGTTGACCACGACCATGGACTATACCCCCGGTGACATGCGTTGGTAACTTCCACGCCCCATTCGTTGACTTTGCCTCCTGCACAAAGTGTGGTATCGATGTAGACTTCTGGTCCATCCCATCTATGATCACTGACAAGTACTTTCCAGGATAAGCCTTGGCCTTTTTCTGATGCTTGTAGTATTTTTCCCTTTCAGCTCTTTAAGAAAAGAAACAAAAAGGAACAGAGATATTATTACAAAAATGGTTCACTTGCATGTTGATAAAATTTTCATTGCTTTGGAAGGCCGGTTCAAGAAATTCAGAAAGAGCTATCAAGAGCATCCCTTACTCCTTGTGTATGCTACATGATATGTTGTGAGGGTTGGTATATACTAGGGCCTAGTATATACTAGCTGTTGATCAAGAACGGAAGGCACATGCAGCTACAATATGTAGGTCCACAATATCATTTATAGATGGTATTACTAGTTATAATGAGATCATTTGGACCATGGAAATCACATCGTTATCATATCTTGTTACATCAGAGCTTTTTATAAATAGTTTCTACTGTCTAATATATTCAAAATGGGTTTGATGTACATGTACTTCCATTATTTTGAATATCAGAATTAAAAGTATGTTCACTTTGATTTGTATTCTACTAAAATGGCCGGCCGGACTTCATATCCTATTCCCATTTTATATTCTAACACAATGTGGAAAGTTTTTATCCAGGCTACCAGCTACACAATCAAAATGATCATAAATATATACCTGACAGATAGTTATCATGGTAATAATTGTTATTGTATATACAATACTCTCCTTTGCAGTGTTCATAACAGAATGATATGAAATAGAAATGAATAAAAAATCATAAGTTATTACCAAATGCAATAACAATATGTAACACCTGAAACTCCATTAGAAAGTTACATACTGCATGTCCTCATGTTTTTTTAAATAAAATAATCTTAGTGTGATATAAATTGTACCCATCAATTTCACATGTACCTTCAAAATATAAGCACATGACCAGTACTCAACGTTCTCCTTTATACATGCATAAATCTAGAGCATTCAATAATGTCCATGTCTTACCTCTGCTGTTGGAGATGTTGTTCACGGGCTTTACACAGATGGCTACGTTGTTTGGAATCTGAACAGTTTTGCAGCTTGGACTTGATGGAAGTGCACATGTCACACTTTGCAAACCTATTAATCTATAAAAAATAAAGAACAAATGGTTCTTTTTCAAAACTTGAGAAAGTTGACAACTTTTTGGTTTTACTGCAATATAACTTCTTTTTTCTTGGCTCATTAACTGGTTTGAAAAGTAAAAAATAGAATTCATTAATGCTGAAAAAAGGGATTTTCTTCCTTTTATCCATGTAGTGAATTTGCTACACATGTAATGATGTTTTATTTGTGTATACAAATGCACACATGTAAACTGTCAAAGCACTATCTACAAAAAAAATAAATATAACTCATGTCATAATATGAAGCCTTTCATTGGTTGGGTTTGATCACTAATGCTGTCAACGAATTGGTCAAAAGAATGTTAGAGGGGGCCATATATGTAATCACAACAAATATTTTGCTCTGTATGGGTTCACACAAGCAAGCCAAGAGCAACTTGAGTTCAGAGCGCGGGTTGTCGTGTTATTATTTTCTCCCTTCATACTTTTTAAACAGTAACCAATACAATACCTGGTAAAATTTTACATGGTTGACTTTACACATACTAGCTGCACATAAATATTGTTGTTAGGTAATTGGTATCCTTTAAAGTTGCCTTAAACTGAACCTCCTAACTAGCATCATCTTTATAAACAGGTTTTGGAAAACATCTATGCATCCTATTTTCACATCATGCACCATTCTCACTTGTGGAAGTTTAAAATGCACTTGCAGGTTATTTTCTACATTTGCAAGTCAAACTTGTTCTGATACTTGCTCTAATACAAGTACATAGACATGTATAAGCACCCAGTTTTTTTTCTTCAAAAAGAATCTTGATGAGCAGTATCAAAGGGAAGTCCATTCTGGTATAAAATTAATTTTATTTAAAGCTGAAGAATGAGAAGAGCTGATCATTGAAAGTTTGCGAAAAGTCTGATCAGAGGAAAGGAAACCTAACAAATTGTAATTTTCTGTAATTTTCTATGAGCCCAAATTAACTCCCCCCCCCCCCACCTTGGGAGTTTATAAAGAAGATAAATAACATGTAAATCAAGGATAACTTACACTTGGTATGACAAGATGAGGAAGCTCTTCCCTCCACAATTTCAGAAAGTGCGTCTGGCTGCAAATGTTGACATTGAAGTCACTCAGTTCTGCTTTCATCATTTCATAAACTGAAATTCTGCTGTGACAAGAAGGCAGGTGTATTTTGGGAGAGTCAGGCATCCTGTCTCCACATTTTGCAGCAAAGTCTTTCAGCCAAGCCAATGCCGAATGGACTGATGACTTTCTCCTACCCTTCTGGTGGCTGTTCGGGGGCAGAGGTACCTTGGCTCCATCTAAAATAGCGTGCAAACCAACATATAAAGAGCAACATATTAAGAGCAACCTTAAATCCCATTTGTTTAATTTTGCGTTTTGAAGACAGACATTCATTCATTCTTTCATTTTTGTGTTTTCTTTCTTATGTAAATGTACACGATTCTTTGTCATGATGTATGTGTTCCTAATATTTTGAAGCGCCTTGAGCATTTAATTAAAATGGATAATGGCACTATATAAATCTCATGTATTATTATTAAACATTTGGGGGAAATACCTATCATATGGCAAAAAAAACAATATAAACCTGTGAAGCAATGTCTTTTGTTGCTCATTTGTTATAAGTAATATCTTTCAAAGGTTAAAAATTGATGTATCTTCCTTCAACCCAATATGATCTATCCCTTAATTTTGTTTCTGATTTTAACAGAATCAATTTATTTTTAGCTAACCCTTTAAAAATATATGTGGTAAAACTCACGTTGGCAAAGACGACGCATCTCCCAGAGGCGCTTTCTCCCTACTCCATGAACCAGGCGCCATGCTTCCATGCACACCCATGCTGTGCCCACTGAAAAGGAAAAATGCTTCTGTTCTCCAACACATTTAGAATGTGTGTTGAGGTACTGCAGAATCCAGCATCTCTGTTCATACAAGGTTTTGCTTTGAAATTGTGTCCTTGCCTCCAATGCCTCCTTACGAGAAACTGTTGATGTGCAATCTGACAAACAGCAGCGTGTGCCAAGAATCTTCATGATACCTGAAAATGAACATCAAAATCATAATGATTTTCATCTTTATGCAGCTAAGAAATTAGGTAGGGAAATTCTAACTGAATGCTAAAAATGATGATATATTTTCAATCCTTTATATTTCAGGTGATCAAGTATGTTAGAAGAAAAAAGAAATAAGTAAATAGCTCAGCTCACCAACATGAGCACAGTCATGAAATTATGCTTTAAACGGAATTTGACACTCTCCCATTTTAACAAATGCTTGTCTGACTTGTTCCTTTTCATAGCGATGCCTTTTCTTCTTTTCACTCTCTGACCATGGCCTAAAAATAATGTATTTTATCTAAAAAAAGTATAACAAATTCTGATTTCAAGGTTCTTTCCAGTAAATCCCCACATATATATCCTTCCACTCTGCATTTGAAGCTTTACCAAATTAAACTTTTCAATCACCCTCTGCCATAAAGCTTTGACATGATCACAATCCCAAATTAAGTATTCATAGAATTTAAATTTTTCTTACAGAAGGAACTATAATTGTTATCAACATAACCAAATGTAAAGAGACGTTTGTTTTTATATATTGCTCCATAGAGTAATTTATAGTGAAATTCTCTAACTTTTGCTAAAATTGCAGTAGTCCAAGCCCACTCCAAAAATAATTTGCTTTTAATAGATGCAGAAAAACAAGAGAAACAGAGTAAAAAAAGATTTGAGTAAAATCAGATAACCATATAATAAGGAAGTTATGAATTTTTGAAAAAGTATGAAAAAGTATGGAGCAATGAAATTCACATTTTTCATAATATAACGTAAAAAATTACTCTCTATTTGTGCATCCACAAAAAAACATATTACTATCAATCTAACTTGGATGCTGGTGTGAAGAAATAAGATTCTTAGGGGGAAAATGGGAAATTTGTACTTTCAATATAAAGAAAACAATTAGTGGATAGTGAGGCAATGACGTCACAGGCTAATGAGTGAGTTGACAATTTGTCTTGTGATTTTCAAAGTTTTTCATGTCATTAAAAATTCATAACTTTCGTATTAGTTATCCGATTTTGCTCAAACTTTTTCTGATCGGTTTGTCTGATTTTTCTGCGTCTATTGAAAATAAGTTATTTTTGGAGTGGACTTGCCCTTTAAGGCCTGCTATGCACTTTGATCAAAGTCACAACTGAGGCATCTTGCCCAAACCAATTTTTCTGAGTTTACCAAAAGTAGCCAGTACTCACTCAAGCATAAAATATTGTCAATACTCATAGTTTCATCTGATTAAACAGACCCTCACCCATAATTTTGTAAGAAATCTTATCGATATTGTGAACTTATAATTTTGTAGTAAGCAAGTAGTAAGTATAATTACATGGGGCCCTTTTGTCATGCCTACTACATACATTGGCACAAGCATTCTGAAGTGATCAATTATGACATGCATGTACTGTTATCGTGCATATCCATTTTTAATGGCCTTTGTGCTACTATATATGCACGCTGGGATTATGCGAGACACAATATCAGGAAATATTTGTTGTGGTCGCTGCATACAGTGCCAATGAGATAATTAGGTTTTCCCGGAAGAAAGGGTACATCGGAAAACATTACCCACTGCCACCAAAAGTAGGCAAAATATGCGTATTTAATTGCACAGTTCATGAGGCCTTAAATTAATAATAATCATACATATCACAACTCGAACTCGAAAAAAAGCATACCTTCATCTTGGACATCCGCCTTAATACGTTTCAATTCCGCTATGCTCTCTTCTGAGATCCCTGTATCATCATCAAGATCATCAAGATCACCTGGAGGAAATATGAATTTGGTTCAAAATTAACATCTTGGAAGCATATGCGTTCCTACAATATTCATTGATCTTTGTCGCGGTTGAAATCGAGTTTAAATTTATGAAATTATAAATAATAAACTCTTTATGTTGTATAGCTCCCTCTCAAGGTCAAGATATTAATTTAGCTATGAAACAATGTTCTTGACTAAAATTGACCGATTAGCTATTCCTGTTTGGAAATTAAATATCACAACTACATATTCTGAGATTTTCATGGTCGCAGCTACCATTGCACAGCCGTGTAGGCGCTATTTGGAATTTATCAAAATTTACCGGTAAATTTTTATATTCAATTTTTCTCGAAAACAGAAGTGTTTTAGGAGCTATATTTTTTAGTGCTTATAATACATCCACAGGGGCATCCAAATATATCAAAATTGTAAAGATTCACTATCCACCCAATTTTCAAAATTTCCCAAAACTTTGTATTATGACTGAAATGATAAATATCCAAACAGGGGTATAATCAAATATTAGAGATGATCCATCCCATGAGTACCTGTTAGCAACAAATTTACCTATTCAGAAACATTATTTAACAGTTTCTGAGGCAATTCAACCCCATGACCAGAACTCAAGTTAGCATTTCACATATCAGTAATATTTAGGGTTGACTCCAGAAAATGTCATATAGTGAACACAATTTCATTCCTGCGAGACACAAACACCCTCTTCTAAGAACAATAGAAATAAATTGACACTGAAAAGGGGAATATTTAGGCAATCTACATTTTGTTGTTTCAGATTTTGCTTTACACATACCTTCATTCTCAACTTCCATAGCGTCATCATGTTGATCATCGCTGCTAGCTCCTCCCCAATATAACCCCTCTGCATCTTCACTGTCTGCAAGAGGCACTAGACAGAGACCAAAAAAAAGCAATGTACATATAGCAGATCATTAATCAAGATAAATTATTGTTCTGGTTCCAAGATTTCTCTTCATCTATTATAACCAGATACCCATAACATAGCTGACACATTTGCTGATAGTGAAGTGAATGAATGAAAAAATCAATGAAACAATTAGGTAATACTTGGTCTCATATCCTAATTGCCCTTCACCCCCACCTCTTCGCTTTCTCATTTTTCATTTCAAAATATTTGTGTAATAGCATCCACAAATTGATCTAGATTACATGCATGTATTGAATTGTGATAACAATATTTTTTTCCAAATACATTTTCACTACACTAGACATCCTCTTCCAAGAAATGTGTCCTCAATGAAAATTATTCAAAGGGGAGGGTTAGGCAATCTTGGTTTTGTTATTGTAGACTTTTTGCATTGATTTATACCTTCATTCTCTACTTCCATAGCTTCATGGTCATCACTGCTCCTAGTTCTTCCCAAATGTAACGCCTCTGCATCTTCACTGTCTGAAAGAGGCACTATAGACAGGCAAAACAACAAAATAGGAAAACAGTTGAACATTAAATGAGGTTTAATGAATGTGAAGGCTGCTTGATTAAAACTTTGGCCCTCCTGTATATGAGCACATTTATTAATTCAAGTAGCTGACCCACATTTCTGTGGGATGATATAAGGACTTATTAATTGATAGCCTGAATATTTTACATTATATTCCACATACAAAGAGTCTTGCACTACGATTGGTCAAAAGTAATCACGTGATGAAAGATAGTTCGCCCATCATTGATGGCCTTTTGCCCGAATATTCACTTTCCAAAAATTGGCAAGTTTTCCGTTTTTTTCATGTCTCTCCCTTTTCCCATCCTTCACTTCTTTTTGTTTTATTTTCTCTTTTCCTTCACCTTTCTCTTTCCTCCTTCTCTCTTTCCTCTTCCCTCTCTGTTTTTTTCTGCCGACAGCAATTTTGAGGGGGGGGGGGGGGGTAGAGTTAATAAAAAGGGAACCCAGATTCGACTCAAAAATATTGTGGCAATCAGTATGTCTAGATTTAATCACAGATACTCACATTGTAGTATATTATGTTTTCTTAAAATTGACATCTTAATCAGTAAAATTTGACCATGGACAGCTGAACAGCAGCATTTTTTCCTGATTCATGACAATTTGCTTCATAAAAGTAACAAACATACCTTTGGCTCCACTTTGATTTCCATGAAGTCCTTCTACATCAGAGAAATGTATGCAGGCCACTAAATAGAGACAGAGGAATAAATCACAACTTTGTGTAAAACAGCAACAACTGCATAGCTGCTAAATACGTGCTTGTGGTACAGTAAGTGAATTTTCTAAAATTCATGCACCAAAATTAAACTGATTGGGTGGTATTCCGGTAGCGCGTAATAAGTTAGCGCGTAATAAGTTAGTCCACACTTTTATGTAGTGCCAGTTGCCAACTCATTTACCCTGTACAGATTATATTAATCCTTCAATGAAGTGTCCAAAAAATTAATTTTGCAATGAAATGGGAAGAAAAAGATAATATGAGTAATGAACTGAATTTCAACAAAGTCTTTGGCAGATTATCTTTGTCATGAATATTGAAGGAGGAAGATGAAACCTAGCATTCCATAGAATTGTAAACTAAAATTCTTGTTTTTTTAGTCGGCCGGCTTAACTTATGAGAATACTACCCATTGAATCTTTGTGCAGCACAAAACGTACGACCATTCAGTAAAAGGGTCTGAAAATCAGACTACCAGTATTACTTAAGTGATTGCAATCACTAAAGTCGTTTTGACAACTAATGTTCGTTATTTTCCCACTAAAAGCCATTTTTAAGCCGATCGTTTGAGGGTTGTTCTAAATTAGAATTGTCTTTCACATGCCGTTCAAATTTAACCTTTTCGTTTTTTGGGCCTGCAAATGGGACATACATGTAGTACCTATAAAGATAATATAGAGTTCTGGTAATATAAGCCCTCAAAATATTTTCGTCAGATTTCTTAGATTTTTGTTGACAAATAACAAGATACTTACAATACTAATTAAAACACAACTACATATTCTGAGATTTCCATGGTCGCAGCTACCATTACACGGCCGTAGGCGCTATTTGAAATTCATCCAAATATATCAAAATTGTCAAGAATCACTATCCACCCAATTTTCAAAATTTCCTGAAACTTTGTATTACCTTTATCCCTATTTCAGACCAGGTCTTTACTGAGGGGGGGGGGGGTCAATTTTGACCCCGTCTCCTAAGATCTTGGCCAATCGCCACAGAAATTTGCATGCATGTCGATTGAAGTGTATAGAATACTATGGTAATTTCAATTGTTTGAAAAATTCACTCATTTGCATATTTATGGTAATTTATGCAAATAAGGTAATACAAATTCACATTTTTACCTATGAATAATATATTATTCATATTAAAGCATTCTTTTTCACTACATATATTTGATAGACCATTTGGAATAATAATATGACCCAAAAAATGGGAAGAGCCAGGTTATTCCTTATGTTATCTTTTGTTTTGATAATTTCTTATGTTATTTCATTGTTTCTTTAACTTATGTATTTTATTGTTTTTGTTGTTTTATTTCATTTCTAACTACAATTCAACTATTTTGACACCAAAACAAACACCTAAACTTTAAACAAGACCAAAACAACCAATGTTTTATCTCTTTTTATGCGGTTCCAGAGTAGTCACTAAATTACTACAGGGGGGGGTCAAATCGAGCCCCCCCCCCCTCTTTAACATAGGGTTAAGCCCTGCATGCTTTGAAAAAATGGCACCATGGAAATTCCACATTTTTGAGGCAGACTTTAAATTTCAGATGGATGTAAAAGTATAAGATGACCATCCATGCCAAGTCATTAATGCTATAGACTGGATTGGACACAGTAATGGTATGAGCAGGTCCGAGCAGGAACTTGACCATACAACTTACTTGATAGTATTTTAGTACCCTCCTTACGTCCATCGAGCCCTTCAACATCTGAAAACTGGATTCTGCATTCCTCTACAGACATATCTGCACCTGCGTGTGAAATAACAGAATAATAATAATACAGAATAAACATACATGTACATGTATAGGCCTAATCAAAATCAATGAAAAAGTATCCCTTATTGAAGGGTATCATCACCTCTCACCAATCATCACTCCATCCATATTCCATTAAAAATCAACCAATGTTTACAGAAAGACAAAGTTGAAGTCTACTCACTCATAACTTCTTATAACTATTTTCATATGGCTCTGCGTCAATCAATAAACTAGGTGTACTACTTAACCTACACTCATGTTGATTAGCATATCAGACATAATAATTGTCAGTCTCACGAGCCCTCAGAGAATGGTCAGAAGTTCCAATAATCAAGATAGTCACATTGGCAACTATCAGAGGAAATTTGAATCTTGAAATATAGTTCTGGTCATTTTTGCCAGTCTGACAGCAAATTTCCTGAAGTGATTCTTGCAAAACTACCCATAAATGGGTATTAGACTAACTGGGTGTAAACCATTTGTATTATGGCAAGGAGTGGTAATAGACCAAATTTGGATACAAAGTGGCTATTAATTAGCCCTACTTATTAACAGGCTGAATGATAATTGGACAAGATGCAGTATTCTAGCTAGTGGACAAACCAGGTGTGCATGAAGTGATATAATAATAATTCTTATGATTTATAATATCCCAATCCCACTCTGTAGAGTGTTGAAGATGCAGAGTAAGATAAAGAAGTGAGAAAAATAAAGAGTAGAAATACAAAAGAAGAATTCAATAATCAATGGAAAGGCGCATTAAACAAGTAAGTTTTTGATTGCTTTTGAATAAATCTGAAGAACTGCAATTTCTAATTGGAGCAGGACCACCGTGGGCAAAAGCTCATCGTCCCCCCCCCCCCCATGTGTTTGTAGATTTAGAAACAACGAGAGAATCAGAGTTAGATGAATGTAAAGATCTGACAGGAGTGTATTTGTGAACTAGACTTACATTGTAATACGGAGCAGAACCCTTGACACAATGGAAAACGGAACCAAAAATTATTAAAATAAGGCGATCTCTGACTGGCAGCCAGTGAAGTGATTTCAGAGTATAGGGGTGAAAGGAGTGTGTTTCTAAAACAGCTAGGGTACCGTTGCGTGCTGCAGAATTTGGAGTTTGGACAACTGGGTTTATGGTAGATTCAAGTATTTGGTTTGATGGTTTATTTAACATAAATTCTATTTTACCGGCTTAGTAAAGGACCAAGTGGCACCGGACTAAATGGCAATAAACCATTTGTTACTGCTAATTTGACCGTATAACTTACTTGAAAGTTCTGTAGTACCCTCCTCATGTCCATCAAGCCCTTCTACATCCGAGAACTGGATTCTGCATTCATCTTCAGACGTATCAACTGTTGATTAGAAAAGAAAAATAAGTTTCATTTGCTATCCAAAGTGGAATAATGGTTTAGGAGGTTTTACTTTTTCAACCTTTTTTTATTGGAGTGGATGATAGGAATCTGGTGCAATTTTCTGTTTTTCACATAGAAAAATCCAAGTTGGATCATACAAGAGGATTGACAAAAATGAGATTGAAATACATGTACACTTTATTTTCATCTAGGAAATGCCAAAACTGTAGAAGAGTATATTTGAGAAAGCCTTTGAATCAGTCAAGCAGCATTGTTACAATTAAATTAAATCCATAATGACAAGTCCTATAACAAGTGACATCTAATTACCAATCATTGTGTCATATGTCCAATACCTATTTTTTCACTCTAAATATCCACACAAAAAAACCTGTTCCAATCCAACTAGATATATACATGTATAGACCATAAGAAATTGTAGATACTAATGGTAGATTCTCCATCTACATGTATATAAATTGTATACAGAAAGTGTGAAATTGGTAGTATTTATCAGTAAGATCCAAGTCAAGTTAGACCTATATAAAATATGTATGTCTTATTTTCTAAACTTGAAATAAGGGGGGATGCTATTTAACAGGTTAGCTAGGTAAAGGACCAAGTGGCACCGGACTAAATGGCAATAAACCATTTGCTGCTGCTAAATGACCGTACAACTTACTTGAAAGTTCTGTAGAACCCTCTTTATGTCCATCAAGCCCTTCTACATCCGAGAACTGGATTCTGCATTCATCTTCAGACGTATCGACTGTTGATTAGAAAAGAAAAATAAGTTGCATTTGTTATCCAAAGTGGAATAATGGTTTAGGGGGTTTTACTTTTTCAACCTTTTTTTTGGGGGGGAGTGGATGATACGATTCTGGTGCAATTTTCTGTTTTTCACATAGAAAAATCCAAGTTGGATCATACAAGAGGATTGACAAAATAGAGATTGAAATGCATGTTCGCTTTATTTTCATCTAGGAAATGCCAAAACTGCAGAAAAGTATATTTGAGAAAGCCTTTTAATCAGTCAGTCAGCATTGTTACAATTAAATTAAATCCTTAATGACAATAACATTGACTTTCCTCTTTCTTTTTTTGTATGGCCACAGAGCCACACTGAGGGTTGGCTGAAAATATATGAGAGGAGAAAGACGGAATGGGAATCATCTAGTCTAGAAATCTACTGCTTGGTCTATACATAACTTTTGCTCTCTCTCTCTCTCTCTCTCTCTCTCTCTCTTTAAAGCTAGATCAAGGTATGAAAGCTAAAAAAAATGTTGACAAAACATTTTTACAAGTGTGAAGGAGAAAATAATCTCTAAAAAAATAATCACCATGCAGCAAGGGTTTTAAAAATATGATTTACGAGTTTAACCTAGATGTAGTACTCTCTGATAAAGAGAAAGATCTCAGCTCTATGTTCATTTGTGCCTACTGCAGAATGCCTACCGGGTATACTGATTCATTTAACTTTAACTGGATGTTAGACATTTCCCATTAAAAAAATAAAAAATAAAGCGAAGTCCTATCATAAGTGATATTTACTTACCCTTCATTGTGGCATACATGTATGTCCACTACCTAATTTTCACTCTAAATATTAAAACCCTGTTACCCCTGTTCCAATCCAACTAGATATATATAGACCAAAATAAATTGTAGATACTAATGGTAGATTCTCCATCTAAATGTATATAAATTTTATACAGAAAGTGTGAAATTGGTAGTTTTTATCAGTAAGATCCAAGTCAAGTTAGACCTACCGGTACATGTATATACAATATGTACATGTATGTCTAATTTTCTAAACTTGAAAAAAGAGGGGGATGCTATTTAACAGGTTAGCTAGGTAAAGGACCAAGTGGCACCGGGCTAAATGGCAATAAACCATTTGCTGCTGCTAAATGACCGTACAACTTACTTGAAAGTTCTGTAGAACCCTCTTTATGTCCATCAAGCCCTTCTACATCCGAGAACTGGATTCTGCATTCATCTTCAGACGTATCAACTGTTGATTAGAAAAGAGAAACAAGTTGCTTTTGCTATCCAAAGTGGAATAATGGTTTAGGGGGTTTTACTTTTTCAACCTTTGTTTTTTGAGTCGATGATAGAATTCTAGTGCACTTTCCCCTTTTTTTTACATAGAAAAATCTGAGTTGGATCATACAAGAGGATTGACAAAAATGAGATTGATAACCCCTGTTCAAATCCAACTAAGGAAGCTATGTATAAGTCAAACAAAATTGTGAATACAAATGGAAGATTCTCCATATATGGGTCCGTCCAGAGAGTTAGGGCAGTTTTTGTGACAAACCAGAAACTATGTCTCCTATCAACTGTAACAATAACGTTTGCTCAAAATTGAGTTAAGCATAAAAAGCATAGCCAACTGTCTTTAGTAGAAGTACTCAAGCTTCATGGTGAATCAATATTATAGACCCAAAGTTTATGTAATGTTATATGAATGTGTCCATCATGTAACGCTGGTAAAAAGAGAAATGTGTATCAAGCAAAGATTTTGAAGAAAAGCAACTAAAGCAGAAACAATTCTGGCAGGGCAATATTTATTGCATAAAAATCTTCAACAGATAATTTCATCTTCCAGGTGTATAGTAGAAGTCATTCTCGTCATTCTAAATATTTAATTTGAAATTAAATTAAATTCATCTAACTCAAAAGGTTTACTAAAGCCTGCCATATCCTTTAAACGCTCCCGCAGGATAAAAATAAATGTTTGTATGTATCTTTTTCCTGATAATACAAACCGAACATGAATTATCACAAAAAAAACCTAATCTATGAAGATGCTCATTAATATATATGGCTCCATGAAATAATTCAAATTGAAATTCTCTTTGTTTTCTAATGAATATAGTAATTCTTGGTCTAACAAATATTTCTTTTAATTCTTTATCTATAAATTCATAATAGTTTTGCCCAACCCTTACCTGCAAATCATACGTTTGCTGTGGTAATGTCTTAACTTGTTCTTGAACCCACATCCAAAAACTTTATTTTTTTACCTAGAAAATGAAAATCAGTTTTACAGCTAATAACATCAACCTCGAGGAATTGTATTAACCCTGAATCATCCTTCCATAACCTGGGTATCGCATCATAAATGTCAATAATCATTAGCAAATTGTTACCTTTCATATTGAACAGACTTAACATGAGCTTTCTCAAACAAGTGATTAAATTGAAAAATCCCTCTTTCAAACAGTTAAATATCTATCAAATGTAGTTTTTTCCATTTAAACATATGTTCCGATTACTTTAAAAAAATGGATTCATATAACCATCCAAATATCTAAAATTATTTGTCTCTTTCCATGCTTGCAACATTCCGTATAGTATGGTGGAATATCTAAAACAAATTCAAACTTTTTTACATCATAATCACATACAAAAATAATTCTACCACCCATAAACTGTAAGCAATGATCAAAAAGCAATTTACATCTGAAATTTTTCTCACCATATAACAGACGTTTATCAAAATTATGCGCTGTATTTTAACGGGCATTTCAAAATTAATCATGCTTAATCCTCCAAAGTCATAATCCTAGTTTATTGCCCGTTTAATTCGATCTTTCCCCCTCCCTATATTTTCAAATGAAATTGTTGCAACTTCTGTGTATACCCAATGAGAGACAATAACGAGAGATGAGATATAATTTAAATTTGAAAGCACATAAGCTTTTAACAAATTTATTTTACCCATAATAGTTAAATCTTTTTGTGTCCACCAAGCAATTTTCTTTTTTTACTTAGAATTTATTTATAAGTCAAATCATCTTTTAGTCTTTGATCTAATGAATAACTAACCCTCAAATGTGTATTTCCTTAACCAAATTTCCAAAACATAACACATACTCACGCACACAAACGCACGCACACACACACACGAACGCGCGCACGCACACGCACACGCACACACACACACACACACACACACACAAACACATGTGGCAAGAATGTTTAGTCTAAACTTTTTAGCTTTTTCTTGAAATATATAGCAGCATTTGAAGAGCAATATTGAGTTTTCAGGGGAGATTTTACTATAATAATCTTCTAAACTGACATTACAAAATTTAGAATGTAATTTAAAGATAAGAAAGGGACTTTACAAATTCTGTCACCCACCCCTCCCCTCTTATATATCTCTCTCTCTCTATATATATTTCTCTCTTTCTTTCTATCTATCTATCTCTTTCTCTCTCCACTCTCTCTCTCTGCGCCACCCCTCAACCTTCCTCCCCACCCCTTCTCCTTTTCTTTCTCCTTCTCTCTCTCTCTCCCTCTTTCTCTCTCACTCTCTTTCTCTCTCCATCTCCCCCTCTCTCTCTCTCTCTTTCCCTCCTGGTACAGGTTTGTCTCACGATGGTTCTCCCGTTCTCATTCGAACTAAACGGAACCTTCTTCAGTTCGGTTGTATGATTAAGTGCGCCACCGGTCGCTCGGCCTTGGATTACATCGATTACGGCTGCTACTGCGGGAAAGGTGGGGGAGGAACCCCGGTGGATGAATTAGACAGGTGGGTTGGATAAAAGTTTGGACACGTGTGTTGATGAGAGTGTGGATAAGAGTGTGAATAATATAGCGTGGATAGCAGTGTTGATAATAGTGTGGATGAGAGTGTGGATAGTAGTGTGGATAAAAGTGTGGACGATAATGTGGATGATAGTATCGAAAAGAACCTGGATAATAGGAGGGGAAATAGTGTTGACGATCGTGTGTCAAATTTGAAAGAGCATACAATTCAAAGGCCAATTATACAACATTATAGCATGTGGTAAATAAATCGAAGGTTAAAACTGCCAAATATCACAGGCCATCTTAGTCACAGTACCTAATACAAGGCTAGTCTTATCCGTGGTAATTATTCAAACCATAACCAATGAATGTCCTAATCTCTAAAAACATGATTTAATTCCTATCAATAACTAAAATTTTACTGTAAATAGTAATTCACTCCGGTCATTAATTCATAGGAGACCGACGATCATTTTGGCGGCCATCTTAGATACGGTATCGAATACATGGCAACTCTAATCCTTTATAATTGTTTAAATTGTTGAAAATTCCAGAACTATCTCCCCGGCAAAGGCTCTGCCCCTTGGAACGCATCCGTAGAAATATAGGTGGGTCCGTAAGACAATTTTTTGTTGGTTAAAGGTAATACAAAGTTTTGGTATGGGGTCATGAATTTGGTTAAAATTAACATATTGGAAGCATATGCGATCTGACAATATTCAGTGATCGTTGTCGCGGTTAAAATATAGTCTCAAGTTATGAAATTGTAAATAATAAACTTGTTATGTTGTATAGCTCCCTCTCAAGGTCAAGATATGAATTAAGCTATAAAACAATGGTTCATGACTAAAATCGACCGATCAGCTATTCCCGTTTGGAAATTATTATATCACAACTACATATTCTGAGATTTTCATGGTCGCAGCTACCATCGTACGGCCGTAGTCGCTATTTGAAATTCATCAAAATTTACCGGGAGCACCGGTAAATTTTTATATTCAATTTTTCTCGAAAGCAGAAGTATTTCAGGGGCAAAATTTTCTAATGTTTATAATACATCCACAGAGGCATCCAAATATGTCAAAATTGTGAAGAATCACTATCCACCCAATTTTCAAAATATCCCAAAACTTTGTATTACCTTTAAGATTGTTCTCAGGAGAGGAGAGTGAGTTTTATGTAGGTAAGCTTTCGTCCATTCCTGTGGACCTTTGATTATTCACACAATTTATTTATTTATTTATTTATTTATTTATTTATTTATTGTTAAATGGGTACCCAGTAGGATGCAAGAGCTAATGTGCTAGATTAGCAAGTGTGCGCTTGTAAAAATGACGCCTGGCTGGAATGCTCCCCAGGGAGTGGAGAATGTGCGGGTAAGCATACATTGTGTGCGGGTAAAGCCTGAATCCGATGACTGGGGTAATAATATATATCTGTAAAGCGCTTTGATAGGGCCCTCCTGAAAAGCGCCATATAAAAAATAGTTATTATTATTAATATTATTATTATTATAAAAGATAGGTGACCATGAATAGCAAAAGTCTCTATACAGTGAAGGGTTAAATCCTCAGTTTTTTGTCCAGATTACCATTCTTGACTGGAAGTGCGTTTCAAACTCAATCATTGTGTGTATCATCCCATCGAATGTTGTGTCCGGCTTTCCAGCAATTAACTGAACATTGTTCTACTTATTTAGAAGTATACGATTGGCCGTAAGAATTTTTGGGTGAGTGGCATTCCATGTTTTGGACCGTTTAGCTTACATGGAAATCACATTTGGACCGCCAAAGAAAAGGTTCGAGAACCCACTCTCTTTCACGTTATCCCTCTCCCTTCATCCCTCTCCTCCCCCTCCCCCCCCCCCCCCCCCCCCTCTCTCTCTCTCTCTCTTCTTTCAGGCACAGCCCTACCCTTTTCACTAACATTTCTTATTTTCAATTCTCTCTCTCTCTTTCTCTTTCTTCTCTCCCTTCTTTTTCTCCTGTCTTCCTCTTCTCTTCCTCTCCGTAATATTCGTAACTTTTCTCCTCTTTTTCTAGACAAAATGTCGTCGAAGGAATGACATTTGAATGGTAAATGATAAATGAAATATTATTACATTGTTTAATTCAACAGGATTCATTTGTTAATCAACAAAACACCACAATACATGATCTCAAGCATTCACAAATCCCTAATAATGACTGAAGTTTATGGCTTGCAACATGATTAAATTTACAATTTCATAGTTTTGGTCACTCGCCCAAAACATGTACATTAAATGGAGGTCATAAACGATTTAAAAAGAGAGTTGAGTTCTGGTAAAGATGGAAAAGAAAACGATTTATGAGCTTTCTTATTAGTCAAACCTGCTATTAAATTAGTGACTGTCTACAAAGACCACATTTTTGTTTCCCATTAAAATGGTTTCTTATTGAAACATGTACTAAAGGAACCTGTCTACAAAGACCAATTTTTGTGTTTCCCTTGGGCAGTCGCTATAGACAGGTTTGACTGTATTTGTATGTCACAAGTTTGGGAGAATTTTATTGTAGAAGGATTTCTATTCATATATTTAAAATAGGAGTGTGTGTAGTCCCATATACACATTTCCGTGTGCAGTCAATATGATCTACAGCAAGACTGTCAATTTCATGCCATGGCACAAGAGACTTTTATTGCATTGTTATCTTCGATACTTAACCATATGAGAGGAATTAGTGCATGCATCAGTTAATTAAAGCAATGTTTGCATTGTGTATTTTGCATTCACTCCTTATAATACATACAATGTCTTCGATTTTCCCTTTCAAAAGTACATGGTGCATCAACACAACTGCTATTCTCGTCGGCAACAGTCAATGTCAAAAAAATGATACCGTGGGCCAAGCACATTACAAGTTACAAATAGCATCTGACGTAAAAATCATCATGTTAATATATTAAGAGACACATGCATATCATAAAAGTACTTGCGACCATGTCAAGTTCAACCCTTTAAAAGGAATTCAAACCATTTCGCATGTTCATAAGATCTATACATTTTAAAAAGACAGAGACGAAATGAAAAAGAATGAAAGAATGCACACTTACATGAAAATGGCAAGAAGAAAAAAAATACACACGACTACCACAATGGAAAGAGACAGTTAAAAATGAAGCTAAGATATATACAAACAAAATATGTACACAGAGGTCACCAACAAAAATGGGTGTAATGGTAATACTGATAGTTTGTCTGAAGCACACAATAATTGACATTAAAGGGAAATATCACTTTTATATCAAGGAGCTTTGAAGGAAAGAAATTTTTTGGTTGAGATATAGTGACATGCAAGCGACAGTCTGAGTGAATCAAATAAGCAAACAGAACGTTACAATAGTTTGACCAAAAAGATTTAAAAGTCATTTGAACCAGATCGATAAAATAAATGCATGAAGTTAAAAAATGACAGGATTTTGTGAAAGTTATGCCATCGTTATTGAATATTGTCTCTTGAGAGTAAGAGGGGAATTAACCAGTATTACAGTGACGTCATGCCCTTCCAGCAGCGAGCAGATGATATGCATCAATAGTATAGATATATTGACTGCTATGAGAGGCATAGCTGTTTCTATAGGCTCAAGGGGATGTTTCATCCTGTCATGACCCCAAGGCGGGCATTATGACCAATCAGATGACTAGATTTATTTAACATACTAAAGAGAGGTATATAAACCAGTTTACTAACATATTCAAATTGTATGCATACTATTTAAACAAAGTTTGTTCTTGACCTCCTGAAGGCTTGAGTGAGACTTGCCCGGCATAGCAACAAATTATGTATGCAGACTGGATTCCAAGTATTGCAGTTCATTCATTAAAAACAGGTTAATGGAATACCTCTAGATGCCCAGGAAAGAAACATCCATACATGTGTATAATAGTAAAACGGTCTATTGTGCATTCCATTATATCAGGTTTCATATTGAAAGGGAATTCACACGAGATCGCAACCAACGGTAGAAAATCAGAATATTCAAAAGTCTATCAAATTACATAACAAGTGCAATGTTAATGCAATCATTCATATATATCACCATAAAATCAGTAGATGTACTTTTATTAAAAAATCATTTGATTCTTTAAATTCATTACCATAGCAAGAAGCATGCCACGGTTCTACAGGTACAGTCTAAATATATTCACTTGAATTTGAGCATTGCGATAGCGAAAAGTTTGAAAAGAGTGGACTTTGGTGTAAAAATCCTTTTAAAAAACCCATATACAATCCCTATCATTATTAGCACACAATTTCATTTCAAAGTTCATTGAACTTGCACATTCGTTAATAAAAATCACGCTACTGTTATTGTTAATGCCCAGAAAAAGTTCGGCTAAGACAATGTCTGGCTGAACAACATGTATAGTATAGTGGGTTCAGTCATGTATAAGTAAGCATATCGTATTAATTATCATGAATAATAAGCACCGTGGCCTATGAAGATGGAATACATTTTTGTTCTTACATCTTTTCATGATATGATTCATGACGATAATAATGATTGATTCTTGATAGATAAAATTCATACATGGATCTTCTAGAAACATTATTGATCAATCTTTAAGGATTAATCTTGACGGATCAATCTTTAAGGATCAATCGTTATGGATCAATTATTGATCAGTCAAGTTCTGAGAGGATGTCAACTTTATCTATCCAGAATAATCATACTGTTACCATCATTCCATGAAAAGAGATCAGAAAAATTATTTCAACTTAATGGAGGACGATGATGCATGTATTTTCACTTTCAACTGTGTGCCATCATCCTTCAATTCCATCGAATTTCAAAACATTTTCAGCTCCGCAATCCAAAATTTATTTGGATATTTACATTTGAATTGCCACACTGACGTTTAAAACTTGTATGTCATTAAAATTCATGCTAAATATACATCTTATCATTCTTTGCTGCTAAATGTTCAGGTAAAATAATCGATAAAATTTGGCCATGTGGAGTCAATTTGAGGAATACACGTGCTACCCGATATCAATTAGACATTTAAAAAATCATTATCTCTTGCTGGTCTGCCTTTTGCACAAACATTTCATGGATACTTTTCATTGAATTTAAAAAACAGTGACATAAAAATCCATAGTGATCAGAATTCAAAATTTCCATTTAAAAGCCAAAGGACTCAGTCCACAACATTGGCAAATTTAAGAGGTAGAATGTCTTTGCAGCTGTGGTAATGAACTTGACTTACTTCAAACTAGCACCAGTAAGAAACTTGGAAACCTGTTTACACACGATTTAATTTTGTATTATTTCGCTTGGCAATTGTAGTGAACTCAATGGGGACACTATTTTTATGGGTGTGAAATTTACGTTTGAAGCAAAACGATTGCTTGCAAAACATAAAACTTTTGCAAATTTCATGATATGAGTAGTCAAGATTTGTGAAAGGTCTAATGGTTATATGCTTCAAAATAAGTGTATCACAACAAGTTTGGCAATTTGAGAAATTTTCTTGAGCGATATACACAAAATTTTGTTTCATAAAAATTGTTTCTTTAAGCCTTGTTAAGAAGTGTGGTGGTAAAAAGCTGCATCTTTTAATAACATAAAATGTAAAACCTTTCACATAACACAGAGCTACGTGAATACACATAGGACCTTTGTTGCAGGCTTTTGCAATTCATTTACATGTTAAAGAAACGCAGGGTTTTTGTTATCGTCATATCTGAACTATCAACGGGTGTATGAAAAATTAACTTTACTTGTTATAAGACTGACATGTAACAAGATTAATCAATGTTGGCTAATGTTGTTGCAATGCAAAGGACGTTGGAAGAGAACAAATGTCGTAAAATTTAATTTGTCTAACAGTTCCATGCATACACTCTTTTCCATTTAAGCGTCTTATTACATCTACAGTTAGAACCCTATTAGTATATTTCTACCCGCATATATTCCTCGGTATAATAATGAATGTTTTTGGTCCACTGGTTTCCTCAAAATACAGATTTACATCAGTAAGGTATCACACTTCAGAATAAAGACCCTAAAACCAATTTCTCTTCCGCCCCACCCCCACTGCAAACTAGGATGAAGGGTGTGTATAAATACTCCTAATACACTTTGAATGTAAAACACTTAAATCAAATGTGGTCCTATGCTTTGGGCATACTCCACTATAACAAAAAAAACTCCCTCCATAAAGTAAAGGAAAACAGAGAAAAAATGAGGTAAAAATGTATACTTAACTGTTAAATACATGCAAAGGAAGAAATGAATAAGCAATAATCTAAGTATTTACAAATCGTTTCATATGCAAATGCGAACACAAAACATGTATTCACCATCAATATCGAAGAGAAAATAGTAAAAAATAAGAGGCAAAGAATAATTGCCTGTTATATTTATTGTCATTAGAGAACATTTCATGCTCTGTTCACAGTGAGACTGCATATGATAACTTTCTTATAAAAATGGTTATCCTTAACAAACTAAAATGTACTCTGTACAATTCTGGTTTTCAGTGCGAACACATCACTGATATATTAGTAAATACTATGTTAGATAGCTGCTAGTAGTTTCAACAACAACAAAAAAGGATGATATAAGGTCAGAAATTCTATATCAAGTGAAAAAAGTTTACCGGTACTAAGAAAAAGTTTAGAGAAGTATTTCATTCAACAACTTTCTCACTAATTTCTAGTTTATTATTCACATTCCTACGTTATGCTCATGCAGAGCAAATTTTCTCAAGGTTTTCAAGATGCTTGGTCTATAGTTTTTGTTTCTTGTGAAATTTGAATATTACATATAGTAAAATGATCATGCCATGGAATAATACAAGAATATTAAATAAAGCAATTTTGTGCACAAATGTAATAATTTTTTTGGGACAAATCACTCAGCCTTTCATACTAATAAATTACAAATTTTATCTCTGCAGTTTCCAAACACAGGTTGTACATGAGAGCCACTACAAAACAATGCTAATCCCTTCACTCACTACAAAGGTGACCAAAAAACAGAGACTTAAGACATAAAACTCTTTATTCGGTTCAAGATCCTATTCTACAGTACTCTCTACTACCTCGTAGGACTGCATCAGCAACAGCGAAAGCTACGGCAATAGATCTGAACAAGCTTGCAGCATGGCAAGTGAAAGTTCATCTGTCTGTAAGACTTGACGCTCCTGGCCCTCCAAAGTTATTACCCCGGCTTTAGTATGGTTGCTCCTCCTCGCGTCTTACGAGCGTTTCTCCTCGTGTCTTACGAGCGTCTCTCCTTGTGTCTTACGACCGCTCCTCCTCGTGCCGTCCCGTCAGCATGAATAGCGGTTGCTCGGCGGCTACGTTGGCCGTCTGAAACTCATCGCGTAGTCTGAATCTCCACTGCTCCTCTAGGTCTAGTTGGACGACCTGACGCCGCAGCGAGTTCCGATCTGAACTGATCAGGCATAGCCGAGCACCTGGGGAAAAGAAATAGTGTCACTATTATAGCATTTAAGCACTCATCATGTAAGTCATACAAATGACTAACATATGTACATTATACATCCCGCATAATCAGTCTAGTTAAAGATGAACTTGAGTTCCAAAGGTCAAAATTCCCATAGAAACCAGTAGAGAAAACCAGTACAAATTTCTACTGGTTTCTACTGGTCTTCAAACCATTAGACTCTACTGTTTTGTAAAGGTTTCTACTTGTTTGACTTAGCATATTTACACCCATGTTCAAACCATTAGATCCTACCGGTTTCTATTGGTTTCTACTGGTCTTCAAACCATTAGACTCTACTGGTTTGTAAAGGTTTCTACTGGTTTTACTTCAAAGTTCCTCCTAAAACCATTAGATTCTACTGGTTTCTGGAAAACCAGTAGAAACCATTAGAATGTCTTTACTGGTTTCTACTAGTTTCTATGGGAATTTCAACCTGGGTCTGGTCATCGATTGCATTGTAAAAGAAACGGTGTGGAATCGATCAGAAAAGGTTGATCATCTAGCATATAAGTATTGGTGTGTACTGCAGGGTTCTAGAATTATCAAAATGATAGGAAATTTAGCCCAGTCTTGCATGGTAAAGTTACAAGCACTGTACACAGAAATATGTATATTGGATTAAACGAACATGTGGCATAAAAATCTGTCCTGATTTTCATGTTGTTACATGCCATATTTAGAATATTAAGGCATTTGAAGAGCCATGCTTTTCAGGGAACATTTTTTATCTGATATATTTCCCCACTTGCTTAGAAACAATGATAATGCTCACAAATTATCGTCCATCTCTTTTCAGAACTCAACCTTCTCTTTAATAGTGGTTGTGAGTACAATAAATCAAGTACAACTTAAGGCAGACCCAGATGATTTGAAAGTGTGAACTCACCATTGATAAACTTGAAATTCTTGAGGAACTCCCGTTCCATTGTTGAATGGCACATGAAGAGAAGAAGGCCACTGAACCGGGTATTCTCAATCAAGTCTTGGGATGGCTGCTGACTGGACGATGCAAAGTGCACTGGAAAAATGACAAGCAGTGGGATACATGACAATATTAAAGTAGATATTCATTGATTTTAAAAACGAACTTTATTTTCATTATTGCAAAGTTGAAACTTTGATTCGACAAGGTTATCAAAATTCAATGCTTGGAAACATAAGTAACGATTATTATAAATTACAAAACGCTTAAATACAGCCCCGGTATAGCACCTGAAGAGCTCTCCGAACGCTGCTGAGATGTGTGAGATCACAGTATGGACATGACTTGCACAAGCAGAAGATGCCCCATGACATCTCACACATTTTCAGTGCCTGTGTTTTCATCTTCTCTTGAGTTCTTTCTCTTCACAACCGTCAGGCTAAATGTATGATCTATTGCCTCACTCTAAACCCCACGCATGGTTTTATTTTGATGACAAATGCAGCGATATAAAAATAAAGGAATCTATCGCTTGTAAACAAAATAAGACGCTATTGTATATGCAGCTGCACACACTGGGGTATGTTCGGCGTTTCGAGAGGGAACAAATGCCGTTCTTAATATCATTCCGGGAGTTTTTCAAGTTGAAAGTCTGGTTTCTTTGATTGTTAATTAACCCCTATCCTGTATATTTACAAGCAATAGATTTTAGTATCAGAATCGGGTCATTTTCCCTTTTGAATGGTTTGACATGCCATTACGTTTATATACACTAAACTCATTATAATTTGAGAAATAATAGTTTTGCAATTATGTTCATTCTCTATGGGATGTCGTCTGCTTGGGCAGTGTTGGTCCATAGACGTCATTAATGCTAGGAGTCCACTGGGCCAGCGCCAGTTGGTGCCAGTTCGCGCCAAAGATTATGTGATTGGCGCGTAGTGGCTCGCAGTGGCGCCGAATTTATGTCCGCTCGGCATGTGTCGCCAAGTGGAATAAACTTGGTGCCATATGGCGTGCGCCAAATACCACCCGGCTTGCTCCAAAATGTTGCGCCAGTTTGCGCCAGTTCGCGCCATTACACGGCCATTTGATTCCAAAATTCACCCTGTTGGCGCCATTTGCGCCAATAGACGGCTACTTTGCGCCACTTGGTGAATAGTTTGTGCCAAAGGTCGCCAAATTGGTTTGAACTTGCCGCCGCTTGGCGCTACTTGCCGACCATATAAATACCGGCCATCGGCTACCTGGTTCAGACCCTCCTCAGCTGCTGTATGAACAACATCTCTACTAAATATTTACAATTTTGATATGTCTGAGGCTTTTGATAATGTTGGATTGATGATGCTGCTCCATCAGAAAATGATGAGAGATGCTGAGGTGGCCACTGCCTATTTGGCCATGTGGCGCGAAATCTCATTGGCGCAACTTGGCGCGCGCCATTACATTCCAGTGGATTCCAATAGGTGGATTGTTTGCGCCAAAGGGCGATATGTTCGCGCCATTTGGTGCCACTTGGCGGACACTTGGCGCTGATTGCTCGATGCAAGTGGCGCGACGAAAATTTCAAATTTTTTAAAATTTTCCTGCCGCCACATTCAAATTTGGTGCCATTACGGGCCACCACGAGCCAGTTGGGAGGCAGTTTGAGCCACTACACGCCACTAGGCACCTTATTGGCGAAACTAGGCGCTACAGTAAATTGCATTGGCGTAAACTGGCACCAACTGGCGCTGGCCCAGTGGACTCCTAGCATAAAACATCGCTATTTTCCCGGCGAATCTCTCGTGTATCCCAGCTGCTATGGAGGTGGTTGTATTTGCATTTTTATAAATCACCCGATATGTAGTTGACCTATAACTTGTACGATGGCCATCTGTTAGCTTACCAGTTTCTAGTGATACATTAGTTGACATATTTGTGATTTTCTTTGAATTTCACCTTTAATGAATTTATCATGAGTCCTGGGGGCGTAGGGGGCGTGTTTGTTTGAATTATGGTTTTTACCGACATGTATCAATCAGATATGATTATTTACATCTAGGGACCAACCTTGAGCGTCACCAACCGAAAGACATGACTCAGTTTCGAACCGACCAGGGTCGCCTGAGTCAGTTTGTAGGCAAAGACAGGGAGCTAACCAAGTGAACATGCCGCTAGACCCACTCACAAAGCCCTTTTTCAATGACAAATGGCAAGAATCAGTGACAAATCTGCTGATAACCAATCAGAAGCAAGGATTTCACAAGTTTATAACAAAAACTGTCTTTTGTCACTAATGACAAGTTTTGTGCAACGCCCCCTGAAATATCAATCTGTGACTACTTGTCATAGTAGTATTAAAGATCAGCAATGGCGAACGATTGTCCCTACAATTCTGCAATCGTCGGTTAGATTGCTTTTTCCTAAAAAAAAAAAAAAATTGTCTTGAAAACAGTCATAAAGCATTAGAACTAGAGTAAATAAGACACAATACTATTATGTTAACAAGTTAATTTTTCTGTATTAGTCCTCCAGTACCAAATAACGAAGCAAATCTCGAGATGACAATCATTTATCGTCTGTTGTCATGATTGTATTTTCTACTTTTTTCTTCTTTTTATTTGATTTCACTTTAAAATATGTACTCTAATGTTTCTTCTTTTCTCTTGATAATGTTTCAGCAAGGAATTGCGAGTTTTGGTAGACATCTCGGATCTAGTATAGCAATCAATTTTGGGTACATTATATTTGCATGATATAATTATGATAATTTGGATGAGAATAATAATAATGATAATTTAAGAATAATTGCAATATTTGTATTAACAATAATAAAACGGTAATTGCTATTATATTGACAACACTAATAATAATAACGGTAATAATGATCTCGATCTGCTGCTTTAATTTCTACTACTACTTCTTCTAGGAAGAAAAAGATGAAGGAGAAGAATCGTATCAGCGAGATAAGTGATTATTTTCTCGATGATCGAGTTTAACACATCCATGTTATATACTCTGTGCATTTGTAAGAAGGAAGAAGCAAGGTTATAGGAAGGCAATGACAAAAGGTGGAGAGAGAGAGAGAGAGAGTATAGCCCGGATTCAAATTCATTTTTCGTTATATTATTAAACCCGGTACTGTTGATCATTTTTTGGGCCATGTGATTGCCATGTTAAATAAGTACCAGAGTGTTGTCTATCGTCATCAAATATTGTTCAAATATTATTGAAAAGACGATGAACAAATAAGAATAATAATACGAGGTTGGTGGTCATGAGAACGTTTACTTCTCTTTTTGCTAATTAAATCGAACAATAGAATCAACCAAGAGGAATCAACTGTTTAATTTAATTTATCATGAGTCATGGGGGCGTGTTTGTGTGAAATATGTTTTTTACAGACATGTATCAATCAGATATGATTATTTACATCTAGGGACCAACCTTGAGCGTCACCATCCGAAAGACGTGACTCAGTTACGAACCAACCAGGGTCGCCTGAGTCCGTTTGTAGGCAAAGACAGAGGGCTGACCAAGTGAACATGCCGCTAGACTAACTCACAAAGCATTTTTTCAATGACAAATGGCAAGAATCAGTGACAAATCTGCTGATAACCAATCAGAAGCAAGGATTTCACAAGTTTATAACAAAAACTGTCATTTGTCACTAATGACAAGTTTTGTGAAACGCCCCCTGAAATATCAATTTGTGACTGCTTGTCTAGTAGTATTAAAGATCAGCAAGCGTTGCTTAAACTGCCTTTTCCTAAAAATTACCATACCACATAAAGCTAGATCGAATTATGAACGACAAAAATGATATTGTCTTGATAACAGTCAGAGAGCATTAGAGCTAGAATGACTAAGAAATAATGCGATTAGGTTAACACGTTCATTTTTCCTTGTTAGTCAGCCAGTACCAAATAACCAAGCAGAACTCGATCGAGATGCAAATAAGGGTATACTTAAAGACAATAATTCATAACTTATCTGTCATTGTCGTGATTGTATTCTGTACTTATTTCTTCTTTATATTTTACTTTATTTAAAAATGTGTATTATACAAATTTTTCTTTTTTCTCTTGATGATGTTCAGCAACGAATTGAGATTTTTGGTAGACATCTCGAATGTAGTATAGCAATTAATCTTGGGCACATGAAATTTGCAAAAGATAATCAGGATAATATGGATCAGAATAATACCACTACTCTACTACCAGGCCTACGACTACGTGCAGGCGCGTACGCAAAAAGGGTGGGGGTTCGGGGGGGGGTAGACCCCCTCAATGTTTTTTGTAAGTGGAAAGAAAAAAGAAGAACAATTAGAAAGCTCTTGGGTGTTGATTTTAAAAAAAGTGCTCCTTACCTTGATGGTGTGATTTTGATGGTTGGATATTGATAGTTGTATTAAAGAGCAGCCTTAACTGACACATAATAATCATTATCGCAACAATCATTGCGAAAATTGCTTTTGGGACATTAAGCTAAAATTAGACTGTGAGCGACGAAAATGATATTCTTTTGAATTCCCTAAAATTCCAATATGTTTTATTTGTTTTTGTTATAACGGCCCAGTGCTCACGTCCATCACCTACTTTACGGAAGCAGACAGACTATTACCACAAGCTTAAGGGGCAACAAGCATAATTATTCTGATAGGGAAGGGTCTTACATCCTATATCTGTACTACTTTAGCCAGAAGTTATTAGACCTCCCTGCATGGTCACTGACAGGTGGTTATCTCATCATATCAGCTCTCAATTAACATAAGAAAAAGGGGATCATGGGGGACCAACGGGTACCGCTTATGCATTGTTTGCTACACTAGGGCGCAAGTAGCTTTAGATAGTGCAGTCCGCCTTCATGATTGTGTCTTAGGTGGTGTGTTTTTCACCATATACGTGATATGTATACCAAGATACAATTTGTTTAGTTCTGCAACATTCTTTTGATAATGTAGAATGCTGCAAAAACAATGTTTCTGTAAAATTCAGGGTTTTTCAATCTTTTCAACATCAGCTTAACGTTTAAGAATCAGGTTCAAGTATAGCATACCACAGCTAAATGCATAAATGTTGTTCGGTATTCACGTTTTAGAGCCTTCACTTGTTTCCTGAATTACATTACATTTCATGTGAAATCCTTTTACAGATGGTGGACCTGAATATCAGGTAAAGTATCATAAACTAAAGCCAAAATATTGTTTCCATTTCTCACTTCAGTTAAATGTCATTCCGAGTTTTCACGAATATTATTTTAGCGAGGAATTTTTGTTTCAAAGCGGAACGAAGCATTACCCGCATTTTGACAAGCTTACACTTCAAAATTTGCTATTGTAATTTTACTCTGGAACAATTTATGCGAAAAACATGTTTTTGAGCTTCTAAGCACCCACGCTCCTCAGGTCACAATCACTGATCATTAACAAAGATCTTTCTTAATACAAAACCAACCAGCGTCAACATCTTTACAAAATTAATCAAGGTACGTTTCTTTTTAGAATTTTCCTTTCAAATGTGTTTGTCTATCTACTTTTCCCTTTGTTACAAGCCCAGTCGTATTAACCTACTGTGACATGATATAAAGAGCGTGCCAGTCCGTGTAACATAGATTTGTGTGGTTTCCAGACAAAGTCAATATTTTTGTCTCTCTCTCTCTCTCTCTTTCTCTGTTTTTGTGTTAAAAAATCCAGGGTTCCATGAGTAAACCAATATCGTTTATACATTATATATACTAAGAAGAAAAAGGAGGACAAAAAACAATACACACACCATCAGTTCCATACTACAATGTTTTTAATTTAGAGAAGAAAATTCGTTAGGCTGCGAGCAAGGTCATATGTAGAAATCTCAAATGTCACGTGATAAATTTGTTTTTAGAAAACCTCCTTCCTACATGATGCAATAATGACAAACTTATTTCATAGCTATAGTAATTTTAACAAATATTAGAATAATCCCTCTTACACGTCAACATGTCCAATCTACTAATTAAGCACAATCTTAAGTTGATTCCCCCTCCCGCTACAAGTCAAGAAAGTAACTGCCCACAATGCCATTGGCAGACTAAAATATAGTAATGAGTCTTGCAGGAATTTCCATCTTGAAAAGAATGTCAAAAGGACGACCGTCTACATTCGCTGATTGTTTGGTTGGTGTATGGAACAACTAACTTAACACATTTCCCGTATAAACTACACACGCACCCACCACCCACACATTCTCATTTTCTCTTCGTTGTTCCCCTTCAAGCACGCTCACAACCACCATGGCTGGGAATGAAGATGACAAAGAAGAGACAAAGTATTTAAAGGCCAGACCTACATTAAGCTTCGATGTTGTTTTTTCTGCCTCATTCGAACTTCATGAATGTTTTCTTAAACATTGTCGGGGAATTATATTTCAACTAAGTTCCTTTATGCCTTAGATTTAGATAGTAATACATAAACACATTTATAACAATTGTAATAAAACGAAACTCGATTGTAAAACCTCAAACATAATCAATTAGTGACTGGGAAACCAAAGCCTGGCATACCCTTAACCTCCCCAAAATAACATGTTTACATTTGCAACAGAAGATTTGGAATTGTCTAAGTTAGCTAGTACAGTAGATTTAACTATTTCAATTTTGGGAAAAGTACCCAGATGCAATTGAAGTCCCCTCGTACCACCACCACCCCCCCCCCCCCCCATCGTCATTTACATTAGTTTCTTTTCTGGGAACAGACTTAGGTTCCTATTTGTTAAGCGGAAAGCCAAGGCCACTTCATCACGTGATATTATTTGCATCCCTAACTGGGCGAGAGATATGTATTCTTTCGTTTGATTGGTTAGCTTTAATTATAGTATTTTCCTCTGGTTTCGTTTTTGGACCACGTGATTCAACCATGGACCTATCAGGTACCTGCTCAATGTCACGTCACCAGACGGTGAAATACAGACTCACGCAGCCTATATATTCTTCGACACACTGCGTGTGTTGGCATCTGTCAGACCGGACTCGTGACCCAGAGACAAACTCTCCTCTTATCTTGCGAAAGAGACATTGTTGACGCCTTCATAACACGTGCCAGAAGAGGACTCGACGCCTCATTTCGCATTTAGCAGGATCTAGGCAAACAGTGAGTATAATATATCATTTCAGTTTACAAAATTTCTGAGCTCGAGCAAAGCAAGCACAACAAATGTAGACATCTTTTTGTATAGATATTATACCTGGATAATGGATCAAATATCACATTTCCTAATATTTATAAAAATCTTCGCAAACTATGGTCACCCCCATTATGATAGGCAAGGGTACGCTTTCCGGAAGCTGGAGAAGAATCATTTTGGCATCGTATACTGATTATATTTCAATGATTTACACATCTTTCCAATCTGTCGCTATAGTATAACAGTAACAACCCATCTGTGACTGAGACTTCATTGTCAGACAATATTTAGTGACTGACTGGCTTTTCTCTTCTTTGGTAATAACATACATGAAATTAGAGGCGGATCCAGGATTTTCCAATAGGGGGGGGGGGGGGGCCGGATATTTGAAAATCGCGCAGACCGTTATTTCAACTCGACTTACCAATAGTGACAAGGTTATATTAAAAGCACGGTACCGGTACATACAAGCGGGTAATTTTTTTTTTCTCTCTCTTGTCCGATATCAACATTCCCCAAGTTTAAGTTATGTGCGAGCAATTTTTTTTACATTTTGATCAGGGGGGGGGGGGCTGAATCAACTTGCTAAAATATTAATTTTCTGGGTTCACAATTTCGCGAGTGAGCGAGCGACAAATTGAGCATATGTATGTTGTGAAAGTGTTATTTATCCCCAAAATACGCGAGATAAGACATTAAAAAACTGCATATTCGGTCAGGTTGTAATTTTTAAATTTGCGGGGAAAGAGAGGCTGTACCCCGCATTAACTGCAAGAAATGAAATTTGAATGCCTGTGGAGTAAATAAAGAAACAGCTCTGGCTGCAACCATGATTACATGAGAGCTTCCATTTTTGGGGAAATCCAGAACAATTAAACTCTTGTGGTGTTATATCTGTGTTTCATGACTGTCAAAATATATTTAACACTTTCTTTATATCTTTACATATTTATATTCATGAATTACTTCATCACTCTTGTTCGCTTATAAAATGCCAACGTGCTCGTCGTGCTGAGTTATTTGCTATAACTATGATTGCAATGAAAACTTCCATTTATTTGGAAATCCAGAACAATTAACTTGTGGTGCTCTATATGTGTTTCATGGCTGTCATAATATATTTAACACTTTCTTTGTATCTGTACATGTTTGTATTACTTTATCACTCTCGTTCGCTTACCAATAACAACGTGCTCATTTTACTCCGTATTCATATGAATACAATATAAATATTTTTATCAAATCCGCATCACCACCACTGTTACATGCAGGCCCCGTAGAACGTTTTTCAAAGTTGTTGGGGGGGGGGGGCTAAAGTATTTACGATCAGGTAGAGCGTAGCGAAAGAAACGAGTGAAGCGTAAATTGGCTTAGGGTCCAGGGGGAAAAGCCCCAGCGGGGGGGGGGGCAAGGGGCAGACCCCTCGGAAGCTCAGAAGTTCAGTTTAGGAAATTAATTACGGTCAGATGAGCATATTTTGATACCTTATTTATACCTTATCACTAATTAGCCCGGGGTCCAGGAGACTGAGCCCCATGAAACTCTGGGTTTTAGGCATTTAATAATGGTCAGATGATTTAAAGATAAACTTGAGTTCTGGTAAAAAAAAAAAGAAAATGAATTCTCACAGAATCTAACGAAACTTACACTGAATGTTCAAGATTACAAATAAATGTCATGTGTCACACAATTTTGGAAGAAAATGTATACTGGCTGAGTAATGAGCATAGAAAGATAAGGAAATCGGGGTAGTACTAGCCCCGACACCATTTGTGTTGTCCCATATACATGTTTCTGTGTAAGTGATTGTTACTTCACCAAGACTCTGCCAAATTTATGATGGTTTTGATGACTCCAGAACCTTGCATTACACACCATTACTTACATGCTTTATGATCCATTCCACACCTTTTCTTTCACAATGCAATCGCATTACCAGAACTCAAGTTTATCTTTAATTACGGTCAGATGGGCATATTTTGATACCTCATTAATTTTGTGGCACTGGCAGGTCACAATTTTTCTTTCTTCCTTTCTTTCTATTTTAATATCTTACACATACTTTTTTCTAGTGAGGGGGTGGCTTAAGCCCCCAAGCCCCGCCGTTCCTCGGGCCCTGACATGTGCCCATGCCTTGAGCCATAAAGTATGGCCGTACAGAGGATTTTTTCATGTTGGGGACCGGGGTAAAATGCAATGAGTTATTGATAATTTATTGCATTTTCTTCTTTTTTTTTTATTTGTGGGAACTGCCCCCTACCCTAGCCCCCGCTGCATACAGTCATGGTTCAGTGGCAAAGCAATGGCCTCGTAATTGAGGCTCCAGGATCAAAACCGTGTCGATGTGCCATATTAGTGCCCTTTTGTGGGGCATTAATCCTCATTACTGTCATTTATGACTTAAGGGCTTAGGCCCCTTAGTTGATAAGCATATTAGCATACACATGCTTTAGTAGTCACGCAAAACAAACACTGGCAAATCCTTATTCAATAATATCTGAGAATGTGTACTATTATCTAGATCTATTAGGAATAAATCATTGTCAAAATAATTCCATAAATTGGGGTAAAAATAAATATTCCAACGTTATGAGCGACAGTTTATATTCTCATAGTAATAACATTTTTTTTTTTTTTTTATCATAATCATACCTTGTCACATCAATACTATATCACATCGTTTCTTTTCATAAAAAAACATTATATTCTTGCATCACATGATATCGTATCTTATAATAAATATTTTGTTATCATTTCGTGCAATATTAAGTCAGGTGATATCACATGAATGCAATAACATAAAGATATCATATTTAGATCATGATCATATTATGTTATGTAATATCAATCATGTCGATCATATCTCCTTTGTATCATGATATTCATATGATTGTGCTGATAAAGTGTTAATTTGATTTCTTCAATCGTTAAGAGTTCATTTTACTGTACAAGTGTTGCCGTAATTATATGTCGCAATTATAATTTTGAAATATGAATGTAAATGTATTTATTCCATTATATTCTGGCCCGTTTCCTTGGTCCAGTGGTCAAGACATTGGCGTTTTAATAGCCAGTGACCCTTGTTCGATTCCCGGCGGAGTAATTTTTCCACATTCGCAATCAATTCCGAAAAGGGATGACAGCAACTAAAAGTATCTAGGAAATCAATGTATTTCCCTGGCTTTAGATTTCTGTTTTGTCTTCGATTTTCATACTTACTTTCAAAATAATCTTTCAACCTTAAATTCCTGCAAAATTCAGAACCATCTTATTTTTATGAAACTGCGGACGTAGTAAAAAAGTTAATTTCAAGGATTTGTATTTCAATTGTTTTAATCAGCATTAATAAACTCTCTTAGAGTAGGTTAGATAGAAACTTTATAATGGAAAAATATGCATCAGTATTAACAAACTTGACCCTTCTGTGGCGTGGAAAAGTGGTGTACCCTATTGTTCAGTGCTATCGTAAATAGACAGAAAGGTGGCAATTTAATTGTACTGAAAATTCAATAACCAACAGATGGAGCGTTCTCTTTTATACAAATATGGTTGTATTAACCAAAAAAATTGAAAATCGCACAGACCGTTATTTAATTAATTCAAGATCCCAATAACGACAAGGTCATATTAGAACATAATTAGTAAATTTTGATAAATTTCAAATTGCGCCTACGGCCGTACAATGGTAGCTGTGACCATAAAAATTTCAGAATATGTAGTTGTATATATGTAGTTGTATATGTATATGTAATTTCCAAATGGGAATAGCTAAATGGTCGATTTTAGACAAGAAACATTGTTTTAAAGCTTAATTAATATCTTGACCTTGAGAGGGAGCTATACAACATAAAGAGTTTATTATTTACAATTTCATAACTTTAGATTTAGATTTTAACCACGACAACGATCACTGAATATTGTAGGATCGCATATATGCTTCTCCTATGAACCAAATTCATGATCCAATACCGAAACTTTGTAATACCTTTAACTTTGAAATTTGTTATCCAATGAATACAAAAGATATATCATGAGTGCTTTTACATGAACCCTTTTTTAATAAATATATTATGCTGGATTCTGATCCAGATTGCACAACCTAAAATGATAAGATGGTCATCCCCAATACGCTTGCAGTTCTCAATTATGTGCACCCCTTCCTCCTTATTCCCTCATCTATCGTTACCGTCACTGCCATTGACGTATATGGCCGGCCCCCACTTCAATAAAAGCTCCCAAGACTTCTGGAATAACCCAAAATTCAGAAGTATTTTTTACTAACATTTTTAGGCACTACGGCTTAAAATAAACAAGCATGCTTACAATTTTTTGAAAATAAGCTGAATTCCGACTCAGTTTTGCACAACCTAAAAATTAGCCCCCCCCCCCCCCCCATGCGCGCGCATTTCACACGCACATACCCCCCCCCCCCCCCAGGTTTTCCCGTTTTCGTAGTTACTGTCACTAAGTGTCATTTCCTTGTTTTCCGGCTACTTTCTCACCCGGCTTCTAGCTCTCTTCTTTCTCTTTTCTCTCTCTCTCTCTCTCTCTTTCTTTTCTTTTCTTCTCTTTTCTCTTCTCTCCTCATTTTTTTCTTCTTCTTTTCCTCCTTTTTTTCCTTCCTCTCTTTTTTTGGCGCCGCCAATAGGGGGGCCGCGGCCGTTTCGGCTCCCCCCCTTGGATCCGCCACTGTGAAATGAGCTGTAAAGGGTACATGAGCATTTGTCTACATCAATAATCTACTTCTTGTAATGGCAAAATTAAACTGATTGAATCTTTGCGCAGCATAAAACGTACAACCATTCCGTACAATGGCTTGAAAATCAGACTATTACTTACTGGCTCTATAGCTCTTAATTCGATTCGACAACTTATAGTAGTTATTTTCCCACTTATCTTTCAAATGCCGTTGGAATTTAACCTTTTCATTTTTTGGGCCTGCAAATGGGACATAGTACCTTTAACATTTTTTATGGTCTTGCTGCTTCCAATCTTTGAGATGTAGGGATTGATGTCACACTTCCATCGGCTGACAGACAATCATCCACATAGACGATAATTTTAGGTGTTCTCAATGCCCATGTCAAATAGTATGTGGAAATATTTATCTGTTCAAACCCGTTAATAAAGTGCACAGTTCTATATAGAAAATCTGATATGATATGATTCAAGGGGGTTTAATGTCTTGCCTTTTCACCCTTAAAGTAGTAGCTAATTTGAATAGACCGGATTTTATCATTTTTTGTATCTAGTCATTTTATTGGTCATTATGAAAAAAATATATATATTTTCCTTTTTCATCAAGGTAAGTAGAACATTCTACATGCATCTAAATAATAGGTAATAAACTGGTACATACTCTTTTGTGAACATAGTAAACAAAATTATACATTAATTATCCCAAGCAAATTCTGAGGTTCCCAACAAAGGCCCCTGCAAACAACTCAATTTGATTGCCGCTAAGTTTAATTTGCCTAAAAGCGCGAGAAAAAAAATAGCAAAAGAGAGAGGTAAAAACACAGAGACTTCATCAAGCATGCCGGCAAAGCTTCCGAGTTCGGCAGTTTGTGGAAACATAAAATCAGTTCCGTAAAAGCGCTCGTAAAAGCCTATTTTGTTCAGAAAATTACACACTTTTATCTCCAGAATCTAGCCAAAAACACTCCATTCAGTTATACAGGTAGGCAGAAGACGACCTGTCAGTAATTTTTTTTTTTTTTTCAATCTGCACATAATTATATGCAAATTATATCGAACAAAATTAGTCTTATGCGAATTGTTTATTACTGTCACAGATGGGTCGGTACTGTTACACTATAAATTTATGGACAGATTGGATAGGTGTGTAAATCATTGCAATTTTAATCAGTATACGATGCGAAAATGATTCTTCTCCAGCTTCCGAAAACCAACCTGGGAATTTCTATTGTGTCGTATGCGGGATGCAATTACTCTCTGTTTTTTTCGAAATGTATGCGTGAGATTTGGTTTTTGGTGAGTCCAGGGGTGCGTTTATTGGGTCTTGCCACTAGATATGTACATATCGTACCCCACTATCATACCCCACTATCGAACCCCACTATACGAAAGTGATTTGCGGGATGTCGCGTTTATCGTCTCTTCACGATTCAAAATAAAGGCCTTGTGTCTGCGCAGCTGTTTTCCGCCGTTTGACCCGGGAAGCAGACAGTTTCTCGGAGGTCAACTACACACACACATGCTTGTACACAACATATGGCGCGCGCTAGCCTCCGAACCGGAAATTAACCTGGGTGGTCCGATTTGTCTGTGAGGTTCAAAACAGCTTTGCGTTTATCATCTCTCAGAAACGTGATTCTGGCTGTATGTCACATTCAAAACACACCTTTTTGCGTCTTTGGATATGCCCATATCTAAAGACCTTTAAAAAAGGCTTTGCGTTTATCACATTATAAATTTGCCTGCAAGACGTTTGAGAAATCTGATTCTAGCCACAAACTTGGTTAATAAACGCACCCCAGGACGCAAAAACACAACTAAAGCGCGACCCTTGCCTATGCAGTGCGTATACACAAAAAGTGTACCCAACTTTGGTAGCTATTAAATAGAATGTTACAATGTGTGTAACCTTGAATCATATTTTATTGTAAAGGAGAACTAATGCCCTGCTAATGATACCATGTTATTGAATGTACTGCAAAGGATGACTGAACAGCAGGCTTTTCAAAAAGTATTGTCAAAATCCCCTCGTACCAATTCAGGCTGAAGCAATGAATGTGGGTCAAAAGCCATTACGTGTGTGTTATTTCATTCCAGAACAATTGCTCCTTCATTTGCATTGAATATTAGGCAGTTGAAGACTCAAAGAATTGCTTATTACAAGCAAAATGTATGATATTCTCTTCGTTATGATGATTTCAATCTTGCCTTGATTTCAATCCCCTCCCCCTTCAAGGGGGGGGGGGGATGTGCTGAGTAAAACAAAATTAAAGCTCCTCAACCCCCCCCCCCCCCCCCACTGAGCGAAATATCGGTTGACGCGATTTGAATCGCAAATGTATCCTCAGTAGGCATTAGATATCATGAGACAAGAAGTTTAATAGTAGGCTGTTTAAAATCCCGTTTAATAATTAAAGGTTATCCTGCCGATGGAAGAAGGTTCTGAGAAAGCCTAGTTACATTGCATCATTTTAAACAATGAAGCACTGAAGCACGATGCATAACTTAAATATTAAATGGATTTAAGACTAAAGAAGCACATGCATATGGCGAGACGTATATTGGTCCCTAAAAATCCCGAACTCTCCTGCAACAAGGCGACTTTGACAACACTTTTAAAAGATCCTAGTGCTCATTCACCCTGGTAGAAATATTATAAAAATAAGTTACTCTTCAGCATGAAAGCAATTCCAAAGTCATATTGGTTATGAGTTTTCATTTAGGAGCTACCAAAGTTGGGTACACTTTGTATTGATACGCCCTGTATAAGCTCTACAAAGGAAATCTGCAACAAACTTCAGATATAAGTCAGAGAAAGAGATGATACGGTACCCGCTTGAATTATATTTCAAACAGAAATTTATATTTTAACCATTAATGTACTCATAAAATAAAGGGTCAACGTTCAATTTTCTATTCTTTAGCAAAGTAAGTGTCTCATTTGAATGAAATATTGCTTCAGACCATGATTTACGTCGTTCAAGTAAACAAAATATGGTAACCTGCCAGTGTCACAAATGAGGTACAGAAATATGCTCATCTAACCGTAATTGAATGCCTAAAAAAAAACTGAGCTTCAAGGGGCTCCGCCCCTAAACCTCGAGCCAAAATACTTCGCTGTACCTGATCGTTAACATTTAAGCCCCCCCCCCCCCCTCCCCCTCACTTTCAAAAACGTTCCACGGGGCCTGCATTCGCTGCATGCATGCACTGACGTCAAAGTTTTCGGACGACAAGCCAGGTCGCTCGGCCAGCCAGCCAGGCACCCCGCTGGCATACAGCAAAAAAGGCTAGGGAAATGGGCTCGGAATACGTCATCCGTATAGTCAGGCACGTGCCCCCCCCCCCCCCCCCTCAAAAAAAAATTCAAGATCGGTTGAACTTTTTTAGACCCCTGCCCAGGACGTCGATCGATATTATGTATGTGCCCCCCTCAAACAAACAAAAACAAAAAACAAAAAAAACATCAAACTCTGGCTACGCGCATTAGTATAGTGTGAGCGATGTGCGTTTTGTGCCGAAAGAGGAAGGTTTGCCGACCGTTACAGATTAAAAACTGTTTACATTTCGAATTCTTATCATAAGTATCTGCATAATCGAACTGGCGATTGACTTGTAAAACTCATGGGATTCCTGACAAACCTAAAAGTTTTTAATTATGATTGTAGCATAGGCTAGATCATTGATTTTGTTTTGGATCCGAGGCAAAGCTAGCTTTTCCCTTTAAGTGAAAGGGAACGGCTCCCATATCATTTTATATTTTATATCATGTAAGTTTTCATGCATGTCAGTGGTCCAAAACAAGCTGCAATTGCAATATATTTGGTTAACTGTCTAGATATCCTCAGATGCTTTAAGTATTTAAATTCCAGAACAAAAACATTAAAATAACAATAGACTGATAAAAAGGGGCTAGGAGGAGGGAAAGGGGCTAGGAGGAGGAAACGGGAAGATAGAAATAAATTTAATTTGGCCTAAACAATGATACATGTACACTGTAGATTAAATCGACTATCATATTTTGACCGTCACTCTTATTAACATAGGGAAAAAAAGGATACCGCGCAGAATGGATCGGAAGACATTGACATCACTTATTCTCCTCGTGACGATTTGCTTGTCGTGGGCCCATAAATCAGGTGAGTCTTTTTTTTTTTTTTTTTTTTTTTTGGGGGGGGGGGGTCTTCTTTTCTATCTTTCTTTCTTTCTTTTCAACTTTTAGTCCAGTCAAAATAGGCGTCCCATACATTAAACCTTGTGCACAGGTCATGTGATTAAATTCTGCAATAAACGGCCTGAAACGTGCTCACACACAATGTGGCATGATTGATTCGTCCAGACTTTTCTGCTTTTTTTTGGTCATATTTGAAATATAAAGCTGCATTTGAAGAGCAATTTCTATTATATCCCTCATGTATAGTTGTTTGCATTGCGATTGTACAGAGCACGAAAAAGGTATAGCTAAGTACTATCTACCTGAGATAGTAAGCAAATAACTACCGTTGGTGAAGGTGATGGGTCAAACTATCACTTCCGAGGCAATCTGGATGTAGCTATATTTCCGAAGCGAAGCTGAGGAAAGATAGCGTATACATTCTGATCGACGGGGAAGTGATGGTTTGCCATCACTTGAAACCAAAAGGTAATTATTTGCTTTATATTCCACATCTAAAACAATTTAACTACAAAAAGAAAAGGACGTGTATGCATCTACATAAAAGACACCAGGCCCAAATTCACACCAAAAAAAAGTTAAAAGTTTAACCCAACCCCTTGAGGGTACGGTGCGCGCATGTGTTTGCTTTAATTGCGCTCATTGGTAATGCGCGCTTAATTACGCCTGTTTTAGTGCGCTTTTGGATAATCTTCAGTGAAAGTGCGTTGCCCTTTGTAGATAGTACCTCTATCTTCAGTGAAAGTGCGTTGCACTGTGTAGATAGTAGTACTATCTACACAGTGTAACGAACTTTTTGCTTCTTCCATCAATAATGGGCGAACTATCTTTCATCACGTGATTTACTTTTGACCAATCGTAGTACAAGATTCTTAGTATGTGGAATATAATACTTATTGTAAAGTAATTTTTTGCTGCTACCCCACTTGCCCACCCTCGCCCATTGAATACGCATAGCAAAGTAGGTTACGCGAAATGTCAAAGTCAATGTCAATGTCAAATGAGCGCGCATCGACTTTATTACATGTATGCATGTTGCGCTTTGTAAAATCTAGCTGAAGCTATACTGTCTGCAGAATCAGTTCTTATTATTATGTAAAATTCACTTTAAAGGTAATACAAAGTTTTGGTATGGGGTCATGAATTAGGTTCAAATTAACATATTGGAAGCATATGCGATCCGACAATATTCAGTGATCGTTGTCGCGGTTAAAATATAGTCTCAAGTTATGAAATTGTAAATAATAAACTTGTTACGTTGTATAGCTCCCTCTCAAGGTCAAGATATGGATTAAGCTATAAAACGATGGTTCATGACTAAAATCGACCGATTAGCTATTCCCGTTTGGAAATTATATATCACAACTACATATTCTGAGATTTTCATGGTCGCAGCTACCATCGTACGTCCGTAGTCGCTATTTAAACATTTTCAAAATTTTCCCTGGAGCACCGGTAAATTTTTATATTCAATTTTTCTCGAAAGCAGAAGTATTTCAGCGGCTAAATTTTCTAGTGTTTATATAACATCCACAGGGGCATCCAAATATGTCAAAATTGTGAAGAATCACTATCCACCCAATTTTCAAAATTTCCCAAAACTTTGTATTACCTTTAAATGGACCTTATTGCCGATCTGGGATATAAAACAAATATTAACCTCCTTTATTCGGGCAATGGATACAAACTATCATCGCCTCGGTGATAGTTTGCACCATTACCCTCGTAGTCGATTAATATTTGCTTACTATGATATCCTTCTCAACTGACATTGAAAAAATGAGAATGAAATTTAAAGATATAAGAGGTAGTACATACAAAAAAAAACAAATATATACGAGGAAGTTCACAAATTCTCTCACCCACCCATCCTCTCTCTCTCTTTATCTCTCTTTCTCTCTCTTTCTCTCTCTCTCTCTTTCTCTCTCTTTATCTCTCTCTTTCTCTCTCGCTCTCTCTCCACTCACTCTCTCTCTCTCTTCACTCACTCTCTCTCTCTCTATAACAATTATAATGTTTGTTTTCTCTCTGCCCCATCCAATCAATCCTCCTTCCCACCCCCTCCTCCTTCTCTTTCTCCTTCTCTCTCTCTCTCTCTCTCTCCCTCTTTCTCTCCCTCTATCTCTCTCGCTCTCTTTCTCCCTCCCCTCCCTCCCCTCTCCCTCTCTCTCCCTCACACACACTCTCTCTCTCTCTCTTTCCCGTGCCGATACAGGTTCGTCTGACGATGGTTCTCCCGTTGTCACTCGAAATAAACGGAACATTGCCCAGTTCGCTAGTATGATTAAATGCGCCACCGGTCGCTCGGGCTTGGATTACAATAATTACGGCTGCCACTGCGGGATAGGTGGGGGAGGAACCCCGGTGGATGCAACAGACAGGTAGTAGTAGTAGTCGCTCTATACAGAGCGAATTTATTTGCATCTCGTTCAACATATTATAAACAATGACAGACAATAATAAACGTAATGATATAAAAGAAATTAGCATTGAAATATCTTTGACATTGTTTTATAGTCCTACGTACCTACTTGAAAGTAATGCATGTTGGGTGTAGGTTCGCACAATAATAATTAAACTTTATACATTAATGGCTGTAGTACGAAGCACTTTCCATCATCACCGATTACGTAAAATGTCATAATCATGTATCATTATCATTATTGATATCACTATTATTGATATTATTTTTAGCATCGTTATTTGTATCATCATTATTTTTATCATTATCATTAATATTGTCATTACCATTATTAATATGTGTATTACATTATTACTATTATTATTGTTAGTAGTAGAAGTAGTAGTAGTAGTTGTTGTAGTCAGGCGCGTACGCAGGATTTTTTCGAAGGGGGGTTTTAACATTTTAAAATCGCGTCGAAAATTTCGCGGGGGGGGGGGGGGGCCGGAGCATTTCTTTTTTAAATAATTCTTTGTCCCGAAATTACAAAATTTGACCAATCGAAATTTCTTTTTTTTTTTTTTTTTTTTTTTTTTTTTTTTTTGGGGGGGGGGGGGGGTGTAAGGTCACCTTTTTTAGGTCACCCATTAGCATTTTTTTTTTAATTAAAAAAAATAAAATAAAATTGGGGGGGAGGGGGGTTCCCTCCAAAACACACACAAACAAAATTTGAGGGGGTGTCGACCCCCCCCCCCCCCCCTGCGTACGCGCCTGGTAGTAGTAGTAGTAGTATCAATCAACCATACAGAATGAAGAGGAAAGACTTGATGCATGGTTGATCTTCAACGAAACGGAGTCAAGTCTTGTGTCAACTTTGTTTGTTGCTACGGCAGGCAGCCAGTGAAAACGAACTCGTTTAATCAAATCATAGAAATGCAAATATTAATTTAAAGAAACCGAACTTTATTATTCCTGGCTCTTTTTTCCTGTTTTAGGTGTCATATGAAAGGCAGGAATTGAACTTTTTAGAAATGTGATTTTCTCATCGAAATTCAGATACTAGAGGTCAGTGGTTTACGCGTAATTAAGATTGCGCCCATATGCAAATTATGATGTGAGCGCACAGCACAGGCAGTGACGCTACAATACATGCGCATCTGTAAACATTGATGACATCACTGCCTGCGCTGTGCGCTCACATCATATTTGCATGGGCCGCTTTCTGAAGCGTACCACTGACCTCTAGGGGTCAACGGTTTGTTTACTCGTAAATCAAAATGGCGCCCATTAGGCCAACCAAAAAAATTGTTTGGTTGTCCTCGATTGCTTTTCTGGAGTAGGGGCGGGCGGGCGGAATTTTTTTTTTTTTTTTTTTTTTTTTTTTTTTTTTCAAACTTCATTTTGTGTGTGTCTTTTTTTAATTTACTTTAAAAAAAAAAAAAATTTATTAATTTTTTTAATAATTTTTTTCCATAAAAAAATAAAATCATTGGGATTGTCAACCATTTAAACAAACAAAGTCTATAAAACTTCAAAAAATTGAATAAAAAAAAATGAATTAAAAAATAAATAAATAAATAAATAAAAAATATACGAGCGACCCGAACATGACGAGCGGGCGGTCGAGGACAACCAAACAATATTTTGTTGGGCCTAACCGTAAACTGGTGTATTATCGGAGATGTGTTATTATTCCTCTCTACAGATGCTGCGAGGCCCATGACAAATGCTATGATGATATCATCGCCGATGACAGCCTCGGCATTTTAGGGATTTGCTCCCCGTATGTGGCCACATACAAGTGGAGCGATAGCAGCTGTGACGATTCGCCGCCAACACCAACATGCATTACCAGTGAGTGCTATTGACCGGCTTACAGTAGAGCAAGAAGGACATTAACTCTATGTCAAGACGTATGAGTTTACGCCCTTCTTATTCTGACTAGGCAAAAATAAATGGAAGATAAGGCTTTATTACTCACAACCAGGCGCGTACGCAGGGGGAGGGGGGGTGGGGGTTAACCCCCCTTTTTTTCTGTGTTAGTTTTGCGTATGTTTTTTGGGAACCCCCCCCCCCCCCTTAGAGTTTTTTTTTTTTTTTTATTAAAAAAATATTTTAAAATCCTTATAGATGACCTAACAAAGATCACCTTACCCCCCCCCCCCCCCCAACTGAACGGAATGTCGATGGGTCAAAATTTCAATTTTCGGGACCCCCCCCCCCCCCAAAAAAAAAAAAAAAAAAAATATGGCCTCTTACCCCCCCCCCCCCCCCCCCCCCCCCCCCCCCCCCCCCCACCACCACTTATTCAGCGGCTGGCTGAGTCGTCGCGAAATTTTCGGCCCGATTTAAAAAAATTACCCCCCCCCCCCCCTGAAAAATCCTGCGTACGCTACTGATCACTATCGGAAGACAAGTGATCAGATGTTGGGATTTTCACGTCAAAGGTCAGAGGTCGTAAAGATCAGTCGACATGAAATATTTGACTTTTCGTTCTCATTGTGATATTTCCAAGAATAATTAAAGCCTTCATCTCAACTGTATTTAAGCGCAGGCATATTTGAGACGCAGTCGCATTTGTCTTGTTCTCCCTTTCTTACCCACCATTCGATTGTTTTGGGGGATTAGTGCCCCCTAGCTGGCCTCTACCCCCTAGCTATTTACACGCTTTGGGCTCTTTAAGAAATGTTTGTACCTCATTCTCGTTATGAAATTGGCGAGGTTGAGCGAATTGATAAGGGTGCATCCCTAAATGGCTCATCTTTTTATTAGAGACCGATGTCGGAAATATTTGAGACCATTATAACATGGACCTTATCACGATTATAACAAGCCATATGTTTAACTTAAGCAAGGGCTTCAGGGAAGGGGATTCTTGGTAACATGTAATTTATACAAAACTATTGGTGAATAGTAAGAAAATGACGTCATAAACTGATGAGCGAGTTGTCAATTTCTCGAGTTATTTACATAGGCCCCTAATTTTGAAACAGACTTTTCTTGCTATTGATCTCGTTGTCCTAATTCTATTTTTTTTTTCATTTTTAACCTAATTATTCTGTGACCACATTTGACGTTTTAAATATATATTTCTTGGTCGAGAAAAGGGGCAGGGGAGTCCGAATGGATGAATGGGTGTTATTTCTCAACATTTCTATTAAAGATTAGATTTGACTAATTGTATTGTTTTTTCCCCCTTTCAGCCGGGTGGTTAAACACGAACTGTAAGAAAAGAACTTGCCAGTGCGATAAGGATGCGGCAGACTGCTTCCGTGCAGCTCAAGAGACTTACGATGGAGAAAAGTACAAGGGCTACGACAAGGATAACTGTTCTTAAGATCCCAATCCAACTCCGACTCCAACTCTGACCCCAACTCCAAGTTCTAGTCATATTCCCATCTTGACCCCCCCCCCCCCCCCCCCCCGGGGTGAGAGGGGGGGGGTCTTTTAGCAAATATTTGTTCAATTACTTATTATTATTATTATTATTATTGTTATTATTATTAGGCATTTAGCTACGATATTCATAGTACACTATATCACAGCGCTTACAATAATATAATATTTTGTTTTGTATCATCACACTTAAAACCAGGCGGGATCAATAACAGAGGCGGTGCGGGGATGGGGTTGGGGAAATATGGCCCATTTTTGGCAGGTATACTACATCTACTTAAAACTTAAAAGTGCCCCTCTCTTTTTTATCTTTTTTTTTTACATCTGATAAAATGCCCTTTTTTATTTATACCAAGTGCACTTATCCTTCATGTTATGTGCCTATTTATATTCCTTTTTTGAATGTGCCTATTGTACTCTTGATGATTGCCCCCTTTTTCTTCTTTTTATTACATCAATAGCCGCATATTCCACGGCAAAATTCTTGAACTTTACTATTAATAGCTTAAGAGGAAAAAAATGGAATCTGTTTTTACTGGAAGTGGGGGTTGAAAAAGAAAGTGACCAGTCCATGATACCGAGATCTGTTCAGCGTTGTGGTCCCTTTTGCCTGGAGTTGGGAAAGGGAGTTATTAATCTGTAGACTGCCTGATGTTTCATAATTATGAAGTATAATGTTGAAGGAAATTCAGGCTCTGCAGTCTAGATTTGGAATTTAGAGCTTTTTAATAATTGATTTTATTAATACATACTAGTGTTCTCTTCAATCTTTCTATAACCTTACGTTAAGGAAAAGAATGTTGAGACAAAAATCAATTTTGATTAGAAAAGATAATAAATAATTTGTTTGCTTTTGAAGAAAAAAAATCCTTTCATAATAATTTGTGTATGTTTTATACAACAAAATAAGTGAAATGGGCTTTAGGCTTTTTACAAGGAGTATGAAACTTTTCTTAGTTATGTCTTTTCTTTTTTAATGATTCCTATAGGGGCATGGTAATAATGATTTATTTTCAATGTTGTTCGGTTAAACAAAGATATACTTTGCCACAAAATGGGAAGAATACTTTCCTTCTACCAAAATAAAAGAGATTTTATAAAGTAGAAATGTTAAGTTTTGTCACATTCATATTAGAATTTTATTGCGTATATCTTTACTTGATATTTATATCCATTTCATGCATTTGGTTGTTATTTGTGGTTCAAATAAGGTTTTATTCATGACTTGTCAAAAAGTCCACAGACTAAAAATGCAAGTTTACATCAAACATACAATCATATAAAAAGCATTCAAAAACATATGTACATATATATAAAGATAACATAGCAAATGAGAACAAATATATAACAATGAATAAATGTTTAAATCAAAACATTAAAGTAGTGACAATAACAACAACAAAAACAACAAAAACAAAAAAAAGAAAAGACATAATTAACATAGAAGTTATGTGGTCTATAGAGGTGTAAGTCTTATAATTATTTTTATGATATCTGTGTTGATGATTACCAATAAGTTTGCTTATACGTCTTAAGCATCAAACTTCTCGGATTGGTGGAATACCATGTACCTTTTGCACACGAACTTCAGGAAACTGATTGATTTGTTAAATTTCATCAAAATTTTGACATTTTAAAAATAAGGGCAACCGTCACCATTATAATTAAATGCTACGATATTTTTCTGATTTTGTTATTACAAATTTAAAAATATGTAACATTTAGAAATTGTATGGATTTCGATATGGAGAGTGTTAAACCGATGGTTTAAAAAAAGAAATTTGAAGAAATGGAATATTTTCAAGATAAAGACGAAGCCGTGAATAAATGGGAAGAGCTTTTATTGAATATCGCAGAAAAGTAAAGGCAATCTAAAGCAAAACGTGTAAAAACAAACGCGTGGTTGAATGAATTCCTTATACAATAATGAAACAGAGAGACTAAATTAAGCAAAAGGCTAAATATTTATTTTCTTGAAATGGCGAAGAATAACGCAGAAAAGTAAAGGCAATCTAAAACAAAACGTGTAAAAACAAACGCGTGGTTGAATGAATTCCTTATACAATAATGAAACAGAGAGACTAAATTAAGCAAAAGGCTAAATATTTATTTTCTTGAAATGGCGAAGAATAACGGGAAAAGTACAAACGCCCCAAAAATAAAATCACATCTGAAAAAAAAAGAAAAGCAAAATGAAAGTATTATGAAAAATAATATCAACAACCAAGGTAGAAATGATTCTTGGAGACATTTTAAAATGTAATTGTTACAAATAAAAATCTATTTTTATACTTTTCCAATATCTCCTTCTGACACTTTTCACAGAGCAAACGAGTTTATTTTACATTTTGCTAATGTAGTCAATGACATATTTAGTAATGCTTTTAAGAGATTAATTTCAATAAATATTAACCATAGAATTGTTTTATGTTCGGACTACTTAATACGTCAAGTCGTGATCGTATGTTTCAATAGGTGACGCTCAAAGCTGTCGAAATTGCGAAAGGGTGATTTAAAAAAGAAGTGGATGCATGTTCTATTGATGGTAATAGTGTGAATAGCGGTGTAAGTAATAGCGTGGATAACAGTGTGGATGAGAGTGTGAATAAGAGTGTGGATAAGAGTGTGGATGAGAGTGTGGATAGGAGTGTGGATAATACAGCGTGGATCACAATGTGGATAATAGTTTGGATGATAGTGTGGATAACAGTATGGATAATAGTGTGATTAATAGTGTGGATAAAAGTGTGGATGATAGTATCGAAAAGAACATGCATTATAGGAGGGGAAATAGTGTTGACGATGGTGTGGCTGATAAAGTGTGGTTATATCACGTATATGATGACAAACATACCACCTGAGACACAGTCTTGAAGCGGGACTGCACTATTTATAGCTACTTGCGCTCTCTATATAGCAAACAATGCCTAAGCGGTACCCGTTGGTCCCCCATGATCCCCTTCTCCTTATATTAATTGAGAGCTGATATGATGAGATAAACACCTGTCAGTGACCAAACAGGGAGGTCCAATCCCTCCTGGCTAAAGTAGTGTAGCTTTAAATGATTTTCCCCTGTTAATAAGGACCCTTTCCTATCAGAATATGCTTGTTTCCCCTAAAGTTTGTGGTGGATGTGACCACAAGGGCTATTACCATGTTAACGAATCCCGAACATTAGAATTTTAGAAAAATGTCATGTTAAAACATATTGTAAGTAAATCAATATATGTATTCAAAAAAATGAAATTAACGCTGCTTATTTTTTAGAAATAGAACTTTGGACAATTTCAAATGATGAATTAATCTTTTCTAGGACCCTCAGGTATGACAATCTGTCTGCTTTCAATAAAGTATGTGATCGACGTGAGCGCTGGGCCGTTATAACGAAAACGAATCAACAATATTAGAATTTTAGGGAATACTATGATTTTCAACAAACGGTAAACATTTAATAACTTCAGCTGTCCGTTTGATTATGATTTAAATTTGAGTCATTTCAAGTAACACGATAAGACCGTTGCCATAGAAACTAAATGTTAAAGAAGTCGTTATCTTTGAACCCCCCTCCAAATAAAGAAAAGAAATTTAACTAATCGCTACAAACCACAAAACAAGCAGAATAACAAACAATATCAAATGATACATATTTGTTATCCAGTACCCTCAGCCATCAGAATCTGCTCGTTTTGTCATAACTTTGGTGGTGGATGTGACAATCTACTATGGCCGTTGCCAATTTGATTTTTGTTTTAGATAAATATCACATTAATATAATTTAACAACAAATATACAAATAAATGTAAGCACCCAAATTTGTATCATTTTAGATTTCAGTTTGATTGCAATCCAATCTGAGGCATTTTAGGTCTCGATAATGTAGAAAATATTATCGATACTGAAAATCGTATTATACGACATTAAATATTGCGGAAAAATATTAATCTAACCGACTGATTTCAATAAGATATAATCGTGTCTCTGTACAAGAATGTCCAACTGTTTAACTGATTCAAATCCAGATCCAGAAGATTCTTTAAAGGTAAATATCATGTCTGATAGAGCAGTTGCTATGACACCTCATTGATACTAGGATGTGTTACCAAAGGTCCATGCTTTTCTTATGTCTCATGGTATACTCTTAGCACAACACCTTGCCTAAGGCAGCACTGATAAGTAACATACATTGGCAGTCAAGAGTCCTCACCAATATACCACAGTGCTCTATAATGTTTATTTTGCATATTCAGTAGCTGATAAATAACCTTATGACATTGTCTTCAATTTAATATTCAACATTCTCTTCAATCTTCACAATGAAGGGAAATTAAAAATATATATATATATTCTCACGATTAACGATAATGTATATTTAGATTTTCCCATTTATTTTAACACCTTTTCCATCAATTTCATACTTTTTTCACTCAAGTTTGTCCTAAAACTGTTTAAACTTGCACATGTCCTAGTCAATTTCGTCTGTGATAATTCATTTTTTTTTAAAACTTTGTCCAATTAGTTTCATCATTTGGTATCCAATTTCTTCCAAGTCAAATCAAGTTTGTCATCCTCGGCTGCCATGTTCACAATAATGTCTTAATAATTATATTTCCAATGTTTTCTATAAAAAAAATCAAAAGAATATAATTTTTGTCGATCACAGTTTAAATTTAGCTTAATGTCCCAAAAGCAATCTTCGCAATGATTGTTGTGATAATGATTATTATGTATCAGTTATTGCTGCTCTTTAATACAACCATCAATATCCAACCATCAAACTCCAACCATCAAGGTAAGGAACACTTTTTTTTAAATCAACACCCAAGAGCTTTTTAATTTTATTTTTTTTCCACTAACAAAATCATTGAGGGGGTAGTATTATTCTGATCCTTATTATCTTGATTATCTTTTTTGCAAATGTCATGTGCCTAGGATTGATTGCAATAATACATTCGAGATGTCTACCAAAGCTCTCAATTCGTTGCTGAAACATTATCAAGAGAAAAGAAGAAAAATTGATAGAATA